AGATGAGAATGAGATGAAAGTGATTACTCAAGTAACTTTTACATTCACTTTACAAAAGATAATGTTTTTTAATAACACTTTTTAATATTGCTTTTTGATAACACTTTTTGATAATGCTACTGTTAATTTTGAATAGATTGACTAATAATTTAAATATCATAGATTCAAAACATTGCTAATATGATTTGTATCTCTTCTAAACAACAATAATAATTCCATGATATTCAATAAACAAACAAATCAGTCACATCACTGAATATGATACAGAATGTTAGAACACAGTGAAGTTTAATATATAAGATGACTGTTTGAGCTCTTCAATTGTGTCAGGTGATTGATCATTGAATGCAACACTCTGATTGAAAAAAGATTCAGATATTGAAACTTTCTGATATGAAGTAGACTCAGTTGAAATATGTGATTGATTTACTGTTTCAGTTTTATAAGATAATAAAGACAGTTTCAATCACTCATACACCAATACTGCAGTCAGTCTGATGAGTGTATAATAGTTTATTTACTCATCTTGAGAAGCAGTTGAATCACTCAAAAAGAAATTCAGTCTGAGATGATGCTATAGTGCAGGCTATTGTTACTGCAAGGGATAAACTGGCATATTACTACAGTAAAATGAAACAATCTTTTGCAGAGTACTATGCTGTAGCAGCTCTACTAGATCTCTCTTATCAAGTTAACATCTACACTTCTCAAGATTGGACAGAGAAGAAATGAGACTCATATGTTAAATTAGCTCAAGACTACTACAATGCTAACTATCAGAGATTTGAACAAGCAGATGTTCAAGATGTGAAGACAGTGAAATACAATTCCCTAGTAAGTAATGATCTTTGATAACACTTCATATTACATAGAACTATAATACTAACTTTGAAACAGAACTTGCATACATTGATTGCAACTGAAAATCAGGCAAAACTACATGCTTGTAAAACTGAATTTGATCACTATCTTCAAGATGATCTGACAAATTTACACATCAAATTAATTCTAGAGTTATGAAAAATTGTTGAGAGTACATATTCAACTGTTGCACTGATGACATGTGATATTCTGACAATTTCATTGACAGAGATGAGAATGAAGTGAAAGTTTAACTCAAGTCAAGATATTTGTCACTATTGCTGAGGACAATTACAAGGAGAAATAATCAAGAAACTCATGATTATAAAACATGGAATTATCAGACAGTTTAATACCTCTGATCACAGTATATCAGAGAAGTGTAGTTTTCATGAGAAAGTGAAGAATAAACTTGTACAAGAATGTATTTAGTTGTTTCATGAGTGTTATCAATAATCATTACCAAATTCTGATTATATAAGCAATCACTGAATGAACTGAATGAGACTGATTTTGATCTTCAGTCTCAGTCTCATTCTGATTTTGAAAGAATGATTATCTTTCACAGTTTATTCTGGAAAATTACTCTCATTTCACTGTTCTTGAATTAAATCTGGTCATTTTTCACACCATTTCTCTCAGAAATGGTCCATTTTCAGATTTTTTTGAGGCTTGGTCCTGGTGAGACTCACGCCAAGAAATGTATGAGACCAGATCAAATGGGACCAAATGTGAAATTCATGGTCCCGCCGGCCAGTCTAAGTATTATAACATCTGTGAAAGCTTGTTTCAATTCTGCAAATGTCTGTGTAATGTCTTGAGTAAGAGTAAACAGTCTCATTTTTCTGTCTTTCATACTTCTCTTTAACAGATCTGTAAGAGAGACAGTAATCTGTGAATATGTATAGATAAATCATCTGTAGAAATTCATAAATTTTAGAAACATCTGCATTTTATAATACATCTGCAGTGCTGATCAGTTCTCAATGATAAAGACTCAGCTTCTATTCATTGAAATATCATTTATCTTAATAATATAATCTAAGAAATCAATCTTCTGCATGTAGAATAAGCATTTTTCAGTGTTTATATAGAGTTGATACTGTCTCAAGTGACTTAATACTTCTTAAATATGAGTATTATGTTCTTTCTCTGTTTTTGAGAAGATTAAAATATTATTTAGATATACTATACAGAAGATATTAACAAGGCTCTGCAGTATCTCATTTATATAGATCTGAAAGATGGCTGAAGCATTACAAAGATTAAAAGATAAAACAAGATATTTAAAATTGCTATACTTGATATGAAAAGTTATTTTTCAAATATCATCTTTATTAACTCTGATTCTATGATAGATATTCTATATATTAATCTTTGAGAACATCTTTGCTTCAGATAATCAATTGATTATCTTGTTAATTAACAGTAATAAATAGTGATTCTTAACTATCATCTTATTAAGATTTCTGTAGTCTATGTATAGACATAGTCTATCATTCTTCTTAAGTATAAAGAGTATAGATGTCTCTGCTGAACTCTTTGATAAATATATTCAGTTCTTTAATTATGCTTCTTTAAGATATTTGCACAGAATATTCAACTTCTTTATAGATAAGTTATAAAGAGACCTGTACAGTGCTGTTACACTGTCTTCAAGATGAATCTTATATTATATCTTGATATCAGAAAACTTCACTGCTTCTCTTTTTGAAAAGATATTCTTAAAATCTGTAAAGAGATATTATATATGTTCATTTTCAATGATGAATACTACTGCTAATCTTGCAGTAAGAGTGATGACTTCTTCATCTATTCTCAAGTCTTAATTATCTACTATACAGTATATTAACTCAATCTTTTTCTCAAGATTCTTCTGATGAAACTCTTCAGATTTCTCTATTATCATCTCTTCATCAGTGAGATAATATCATCATATCTGAGTGACTCAGTTAATAAGAGAATTGTTTTCTCTTAATTATAAGAGATCTAAAATAATGTTCTTATCTATGATATTAACTGTGTGAAGAAGTAGACTGCTCTTCTTAAAAATTTCTTCTAAGTCTGTGATCACACACTTTGCTTGAATTATGCTAAAATGATGATATTTTATTTCATCTGTAAATTTCACATGATCTGATGAATCTATCTTCTTTCAATTCTTCATCAAAGAAAAGAAATAGAATATAAAGTTAATATCTATCTCAGAGTTAAGTAGATATCTTATTAATATCTTCTCATTCAGAGTATACATTGTAATCATAACATGAACTTAAAGATGTGAGAATTATTAATTCTTCATTTCTTTCTCTTTATTATCTTCTGTGAATATGTTTGTCAGAAGAGAAGTTAACTTTGAGAAGATATCTTCTCAGTTTCTTCTCTTCTTCAGCTTCTTATAATTACTGATATAGTGATTACTAACTCTGCAGTTAAAATAGAGATCTTTATCAAATCTTTTTTAATATTTCTTTACAGTAAGTGAAGAATCAGAATACTTGAAATTTTTCTTTACTTTCTCTGCACTGAAGCTGTTACAGTACTGTTTAGATTCTATTATTAATTACTTAGAAAAGATTTTATTAATCTTTTTCTTAAAGAATTGATTATTTAAATAGATTCAGAAAGTCAGATTGATAAGCTCAGTATAATTAATTAATAAACTCTGATATTATAATATTATTATCTGCATCTTATAAGTCAGCTTCATGAGATAAAGCTATATTTTTAATTGATTTAAATTATCAGTCAGTTTCTCTTAATATTCTTTAAATCTTATATTGAAATTGAAAGAATTCTTATTATCTTATTAATATAATGAGTTGAATTACTATACTGCTGTGAAGCTGTGATTATAGTAATCTTTGATTTGATTCAGTAGAAAGTTCTTAAATTCTTCTTAAGTTATAATAGTATTAATATGCTTAAGCTCTCTTTTCTTGATAACTCAAGTAGTCACAGAGATGTCTTTAAGAAGATTGACAGTATATATTACTTATATCTCATAAGTATTATACTGACTTAGATTAAGGTGAAATTTTCATTTAAGAATACAGATAAAGCTGTGAAATTCAGATAAGATATTTTTCTTATATCTCAGTAAATCTCTGATCTTAATCTCTCTATCTTCATAATAGATGTAGATGTGTAGAGATCATAATAGTGACAGAGTGATTAAAGAGCTCATGTTAAAATGTGCAGTGATTTCAGAAATCTCAGATTTCTGCTGAGATAGAGATGTATACACTCTAGAGAATAATATAGTATTTCTCTCAGAGAGTGAGATTAAGTCAGTCTCAGTACAGATATATAAGATTATATCAGTCTGTTAAAGCTCAACTGATTTAAATATATAATTAAATTAAGTAATTTAAATTGTAATATAATGAAATTAAAGTAATAACTAGTCAGTGATAATATATAGAGATAGTTATTTAAGAAGCTGTATAAGTGAGTTTAACTATCTTACTTAAATAGTGAGCTTATAGACTACAGAATTATTATGAGAATATCACAGATATAGTACTTAGTATACTAAGAAAATTATATGAGACATACAGTAACTCTTATATATATTTCAGTCAGAGTAAAAATAAATCACTGACTTTTTTGATGAAGAGTCAGCATCTAGCTATTCTATATAGATAATAAGTGAATACTCTTCTTTCATTTCATGAGTAAGAATAGCTAGAGTGATATCTCAGCAGTGTCTCATTGTCAAGGAAGAGTAATCTGCTGACCTCATATAGAAGTGGGGTTCTCATATCCATCAATCAGATCTTCCTATGATATATCCGAATGATGTCATAGGGCGGTTGGAAACCGGTTCAGACAGGATGGAATCATCCGCATGGAAGCGATGGGCCGTGTGGAACCGCAACGGGGCCTTGGCGCGGCCGGGAGCGTGACAATTGAGCGAGGTCAGGTAGTGGCACGGGCCACATTTGCGAGGTCAGCTTACATAACGAGGTCAAGTGGCGCACTTAGCGAGGTCAAGTTTTCTGTATACACTAGTTAGTTAATAATGCGGCTGACCAGCTGTCTGACTAAGCCCCAACACCGGCCGTCTCCGCGCGGGGAACGGCTCTGCGGACTTGGGACTCTTTGACAAATACAAATACATGTACAACTCACCACTCACTCCATAATAGTTAGCTATATATAAACCTCCGTCTGCTTGTGTCCTCGCTGCTGCGACCTGCCACAATGAGCCGGATGCTGATAATATAGCATACCACCATGGCTGAGTTACTCCAGAGACGCTCTCTTCCACTGCTGCTGTCTCCGTCAGCCAGTATGCGGGGTCTCTTCTCCGCCCCGCGCTGCGTGTCCCACTTTCGGCGCCGGCGACGATGCCACGGTACTGTTGCAGCCCCTGGTACGACGAAGAACAGTGAAGCTGTACATACACTGCCGTCATTGTCAGCGTCTCCGTCTCCCTCACCCTTGCCATCGCCATCGCCATCGCCATCGCCATCGCCCTCACCCTTGCCATATACCCCGCACCAGATTCCCCCCTCTCGCTCCCCGCGGTCATCGGCCTTGAAGAAGGCGAAGCCCTTCTCCGATTTCTTGACAGACACCTTCAACAGGCAGCATGACTACCTCCGTATCAGCGTTACGGAGCGCTGCAACCTGCGATGTCTCTATTGCATGCCCGAGGAGGGAGTTGAGCTCTCGCCGGCCGCCAAGATCCTCACAACTCCGGAAATCGTCTACCTATCCTCCCTCTTCGTCTCCCAGGGCGTCACTAAAATACGTTTGACCGGCGGTGAGCCGACCGTCCGGAAGGATATCATACCTATGATGCAGCAAATAGGGAACCTACGCCGTGACGGGCTGCGCGAATTGTGTTTAACCACTAATGGTATTTCGCTACATCGAAAACTAGATAGCATGGCAGAGGCTGGGTTGACGGGCATCAACCTAAGTCTGGACACGTTAGACCCGTTCCAGTTCCAGCTCATGACCCGACGGAAAGGGTTCGAAGCCGTGATGAAGAGTATCAACCGTATCCTTGAAATGAACAAGCAAGGAGCGGGCATAAAACTGAAGATCAACGCTGTGGTCATGCGCGGATTGAATGATAGGGAGATCCTCCCCTTCGTTGAACTTGGGCGAGACAAGCCGCTTGAAGTCAGATTCATCGAGTACATGCCGTTCGACGGGAATAAGTGGAGTCAGGGGAAAATGCTACCCTACAAGGAAATGCTCGCGATCATTCGAGAGAAGTACCCCAACCTGGAGAAAGTCGCCGACCACAAGAATGATACGAGCAAGACATATCGCGTGCCCGGGTTCGAAGGTCGCGTAGGATTCATTACAAGCATGACGCATAACTTTTGCGGAACATGTAATCGTCTGCGCATCACAAGCGACGGGAACCTCAAAGTATGCTTGTTCGGGAATGCGGAGGTGTCGTTGCGAGATATGATTCGCAAAGGGAATAATGGAGAACCAATCGACGAGGCAGCGATGGAGGCGCTCGGCCTGTTGGAATCTGCCAGAAGAGCCGGCCAGGCTGAACATGAGGGTCTCGTGAACGAACGAGAGAGGGAACTGCTTGATATCATCGGCATGGCTGTCAAGCGCAAGAAAGCGAAACATGCTGGTATGGGAGAGTTGAAGAATATGAAGAACCGACCCATGATCTTGATTGGTGGGTAGGCTTGCTTTTGATACACTTCTCCGTCGCATGGACGTTTGTCTTTTGTTTCCGGGCGTTTCCTCTTCTTCCTCTTCCTCTTCCTCTTCCTCTTCTTCTTCTTCTTCTTCTTCTTCTTCTTCTTCTTCTTCTTCTTTTTTTTTGGATACCAAGATTCCGTCGTATAGATATGATATTTATGTGACGAAACTGCATTGTGTTTGGCGCTTGCTTTTTGGACATATTTGATACCATGGTCATGTTCTACTCATATAAGGGAGAAATGTCTGTTCCTGTGTACTAGGTCTTTGAATTGTTCCCACTTGTGTCATTCATGAATTCACTCGATAGCGCTAATAGAAACCCTTTTTTTCTTTCAGATGAACATGGTATTCCAGTCAATGAAGCTTCCCAGCGGTCCCTAGGGGCTATCCACACAAATGGCAATGCGCAGATGCACCCCAGGAAAACGCCCTGGTCTACAATTCCCACATATTTCCTCCAGAGCGCTCCTCTCCCTCGGACGCCCGTCCGCCTCTTCTCGACCAAAAGCCCTGAAAAACCAAATCCCCCTTCCCCAACCAAACCCCTCATCCCCGACCTCCCCACAGCCTCCGACCCTTCCCTCCCGCACCTCACCCCGTCCCAAACCGTCCACATGACCTCCATCTCCCACAAAGCCGAAACCACCCGCGTTGCCACAGCCATGTGCCGCGTCACCTTCTCCAATCCAAAGCCGTACTCCCTCCTCACCACGGCGGAGGGCTATACGAAGAAAGGCGACGTGCTCTCCGTCGCGCGCGTCGCGGGGATCATGGCTGCGAAGCGGACGGCGGATATTATCCCGCTGGCACACCCGGGGCTGGGGATTACGGGGGTGGAGGTTGATATTAGAGCATGTGCGCCGGAGGAGGGTGTTGGTAGAGGTCCAGGGGCGGAGGCAGATGGGGCCTCTTCGTCTGTGAATAGCAGCAGCAGCAGCAGTAGCAGTGGTAGGTCACGGCCAGCTGCTACGTTGACGACGGAAGATTTGATCTCCTCCGCCGCTCATCCGTATGGTAGTATCCTGGTTACCGCGACGGTTTCTTGTCATGGGCGGACGGGGGTGGAGATGGAGGCGATGACGGCGGTGATGGGGGCGGCGTTGACGGTGTATGATATGTGCAAGGCGGTGGATAAGGGGATGGTGGTGGGCGAGGCGAGAGTGGTGAGGAAGACTGGGGGCAAGAGTGGGGGGTGGGAGTGGGGGGTTAAAGTCGAAGATGGAAGCGGAAATGGGTAGTAGTTTTTAAGGTTTTAGGGTTTTTGAGGAGATGTCGTTTATGTATAGTAAGGTTAGAGCGAGGGCATGATATCTCGTTTGGTGCATGTGCGAGTCAATGACGTTGGGAGAGAGATAGCCTTGTATAATTTTTATTAGGAAAAAACGCATTGAAGCCGCCATTTATTACATTCTCATGAAACGCCCCGTTTAACTTATAGAAATTGAAACTGAATCAAGAGAGCACAAAATAGCATTCAACAAAGACCATCTGTCCCGCTTATTCTTCCTCCCCAGACGATCCAGCCAGATCTACATCTCCATCCTCGTCCTCGTCATCATCCTCCTCGCTGCCCGCACCATCAGCATCCTCCATATCCACGTCTCCCTTCGCCGCGCGTTTCTTCTGATCATCCCTCCGGCTCTGCTCAAGCAATTTAACCCTCTCATCCTTCTGCTTTCTCTGGGTCTTCACAAACGCGCCCAACGGCGTCGTTTCCCACTCTACATCCTTCAGGAACCCTTCGACCTCCGCGCGGTCCCGGGGTGCAAACGTGACCTTTGACCGCCGCTCTTCGATCCACCGACTATTAGCCTCCAGCTTCTGCACAACTAGCACGATCATCTGGTTAACTTTTGTATTCTTGTTCCCCGATGTGCGGGAGGATACTTCCTTTAACCAGCGCTTGAGCATGACGATTACTGGCAGCGAGAGTTCGGGGAAGGCGATGTTTTTGGCCCACAGGATGAAGAATTCCGAGAGCAGTTCTGCGACTTCGGCGCCCACGCCGTCTTGGTAGATGCGGGTTCGCAGGTAGGATTTCGGGGCGCGGATGCTCGTGGCGAAGTCGAGGGGGCGGACGGTGCTGGATTTTGGCGGTTTTCTCATTTCGGCGGAGTTGAGGACTTCCAGCAGGGCGGCTGCGAGGGGGATGTACGTTCCGGTTGCACGGGAGATACGGAGGAGGGATCGCGTAAGCTGGAAGCGTAGGGGGAAGTATTGTGCTGTGGGGATCAGGCGCATCGCTCCCAGGGTGATTTGAACGACGGGGTAGATAAGTGGTCGTAGAGGGGATGCTTTCCCCGCAGTGGCTTCCACAATGGCATCGCAGTGAGACGACAAAACTCTGGACCAAAAGTCCAATGAATGCACGTACTGCCAGTTATATACAGTTTTGTAGGAGTCTTTCGATGGATGTGTTATGCTGCTTCGTAGATGCATGGCCAGTTGTCTGATAAAACTGAAGCCGGTAGTATAGGAGACATCCTGGTCGATTCCCCAAATCTCGGCTGCAGAGTTCTTGATCAGGTTTACGCCGGGGAGAGTGTGGACGGTTGTATTTCGGCTGCCTTTAACTACCCCTTCGTATGTGGCCTTCAGAACTGCTGAGCGGATTCCAGCATCTCCAATCAACATTAAACGACGGACGATCAGAAAGGCGGTGATTCTGGTAGCTTCGGTGCTGGCGGAATCCGACCAAATGCCGACGACGGTTTTGAGGACGACTTTCAAGAGCTTCCTGAATGGGAGGAGATAGGGAAGCATTGGCTCAACAGATGCCAAGGTCAACTTCAATGCTGCTGCGTCGGACAGATTCGTAAGAAGCTGATGGATGGAAGATGCGTGTGATTTGATTAAAGGGGTCAAGGTCTTGAACTTTTTCGAATCCATGGAAATTCTGATTTTCCCCCCCGCACTCTCCTTGGTCGGCAGATGGTGATTCAGAACCTTAGGGACGTATTCTAATGCCGTGAGAAGAACCTGGTGGTAAACATCCGCGTCTGAAATGGTGTATTTCCGGTCCTTAGAATCCGCTTCGTTCATGTACGCAGCTGACCTGAAAGCCAAGACTGCTTGTCGAGTTGCCCTCATGGAATGTTGCTCAATCATTGATTTCTGCCATTGCTTAACCATGGACAAATTAATGGTATTGCTCATGTCGCCTTCTTGGACATCTTCGGGAGCTTTAGCCTTCTTCTTCTTTTTGGGGTGAGCCTCTTCTTTTTCACCTTCCTCGGCATCGCTAAGAGCATCAACCTCAGCGAGGTCCCCATGGTCTCCAAATTCGAGCAACTCGGCATCGTTTTCTTTAAGGTATTTGTAGAATTCAGGGTCTTTATCCTTCAGGGCCTCCAATTGTTCCATATGGGCATCCATGTCGCCAATGTCGCTACCCTCTGCCGCGGTGCTGCCCTCGTCGTTATCGCTCTGTGCAAATGATTTCTGGTCCGCTTCTTGTTCTTCTATTTCAGCAGTGCGCTTCCTTTTCCCAGTCTTCGGTGCAACTTCCTTTTTCTTAGAGGATTTGGGTTTTTTACTGGGAGCGGCATCTGGCAAGTCGAATCCACCGGCGAAGAAGTCATCGACGTTCATCTCAGCAAAGGAATTCTTCTCCCCCTCTGCTGTAGGTTTGCGACCATCGCCATTCTGCTGCGCCTTTTCATCCACTTTTTCAGCATCCTTTTGTTTATTCTGCTGTCTCTTTTCCTTCAGGCGGTGTCGTTGCTTAACCTTTGCAAATTCCTTGCGGCGCTCGATAGTATCCCGGAGGTGGTTCTTCTCGAACTTTTTGGTGGCCTTTTTCGCGGAGCCTGCCATGCTTGAATGAAATAGACAGGGTGACTGAGCTAATTGGCCGTATCAGTCACTGCGAATATTCGAATATTGCCAATATATACACTGTTGCCGATATATCCGCAGCACACTATCCTGTTGTTCGGTCTTGCGTCTTGTTTATCAGAAAATGATTTTTTTCCTCGGCGCAGAAATAACACGCACGGACCACACGCCCATCCTTAGCTAATCTAATCCAGCAGACTTTCCTCTTTGGGCCAGCTTCTGCGAGCGCGACCAACCGCCAACAATAATGTTAGATCAACCTTTGCATTCATAGATAGCTACAGACATTCCGCCATGTATCAGCAACGCCCGCTGTCTTATGCGCCTACGCCATACAGTTACACTCCAAATACGGCGTTGTCGGCATCTATTAATCTGGATGAGGTATGCGCCTGGACCAGACGTTGTTCTGATGTTCATTCTAACATGCACACCGAACAGGAAGTCAAACTATCCTCTACCTCCGCAGAGAGAGACCTCTACGAATCTCTAGCAGAGATCTACAGCATCATCCTGACGCTGGATGGGCTGGAGAAGGCCTACATTAAAGACGCAATCACGGAGTCTGAATATACCGAGACGTGCGCGCGGCTGTTGAAACAGTACAAGTCCAGCTTGAGTGATGAGACCGTTGCTAAGGAGTTTGTTGATCTAGATACCTTCAGGCAGACATGGGGTGTATGTCGTCTATTTTCCTGATTAATTATAGCCGCCATGTGTTCTCTTGCATGGACAGTTTAAAGGAAACTAACTCTTCTGTAGCTGGAATGCCCCAGGGCAACGGAGAGACTAAGAATCGGAGTTCCTGTCACCGTTGAGCAGGCATCGCACAGTGCCGCACCTGTACCCAGTGGCACCGGCACGAATACATCTGGCAGTCTGATTCTAGCGGCAACAGAAAATTTCATCACGTTTCTAGATGCTCTGAAACTGAACATGGTGTCCAAAGATGCTCTCCATCCACTGCTTTCTGAGATTATACAATCTGTGAATAGAGTAACCGACCAGGATTTCGAGAACAGAGGGAAGATTATACAGTGGCTCATTGCGCTTAACCAAATGAGAGCGACGGAAGAGCTGAGTGAAGATCAGGCAAGAGAACTTGCTTTTGAAATCGAACAGGCCTACCAGGGTTTTAAAGATACACTGAGTTGAAATGCCTTCAATTTGATACCACCCAGCGCCCATGTGTTGTTACGTTACTACAATACATATACGGAGGGCTTACGAACACCTCGTCATTTAACCGCAGAATCGATGGCCCTTCCTTTTTTCTTCTTTTTTTTTTCCCTGAATATATCCCCTACCGACGAATGATGTCCCACCGCTTGTTTATCGATAAGGTTTCGCCGCCCAACGCACGGACCACATATTATTTTTGGTATCTTTTTTTCCTTCTGCACTATATATACGGCATATTTCTCTGCACTCCCACTGTATAAATACCGGGTTATTATTCTAGTTTATTCTTTAGCTGTTATGCTTTGTTTTGATTTATTTCTATATCCCCATCCTCTATTACCCTAGGTTGTCTCTGAACAGGAGTCGCACAACACAAGTCTGCCCAACAAGTCAAGGTCGGCAGATCGCCGCCCGGGCTTTCACTGATTTAAAATGACCATACCCGGCGATTCGAAGCCGCTTCATGGTAAATACCTTGATTTGGGTGTTCTATCTGCAGAAACTGGAACTAACTGCTCCGGTGTGCCCGCCTACATAGTCTTCGACCTCCCACAGCTTTACACGAAACCAACAGCAGCCGATATCCTGCGAGCTTTAGAGCAGCTTGCTGTCCGACCACGCAGCTTCAGCAACGACGATGGCGCCGCTCAACTAGTAATTCTCCAAACCGGTATTTCCCACTACCTCACATCCATCATCGCCAGCGCATTATCATGGATTGACTCCGATGAGCTCCGCGAAACCATCTGGGACGCCGCCAGCGCCCGCCTCTGTGAACGCTCGGGAAGAACTGGTAATTCTAGCTGCTCTGCCGTTTTTCATTAATCAGCATCGACTAACATTATTCTGGCAAACAGCCATGCCATCTATTTCCCGCGTCTTCACCATCCCTATGACCCAGCAAACAAATTTCCAACTAACTCTCCATGAACCCTCCCTCACCTCGGATAACCTAGGCATGAAAACATGGGTCTCGTCTTACCTACTCGCCAAACGCCTCCACACTCTCCTCATACCATCTTCCTCCCTTGTTCCATCGCGAGCCAAAAAGAACCGGCCCCTCCGTGCCCTCGAGCTAGGCGCCGGAACTGGATTGGTCGGACTCACCTTCGCGGCCCTTTGGGGCGCCGCCGCTTCCATCCACCTCACTGATCTGGACTCCATCTTGCCAAATTTAGCTCACAATGTCGAATTAAACGAAGACCTGCTCCTAGAGACGGGGGCGACCGTATCAACGGGTGTCCTGGATTGGTCTTTGGAGACTCATCCGCGCCCCGCGCCAACTGAGGACGAACGATGTGACGTTATCCTTGCTGCGGACCCCTTGTACTCCCCCGACCACCCGCGGTGGCTTGTGCAGACAATCCAGCGCTGGCTGTACCAGGATGCTGAGTCGAGGGTGGTGGTTGAGATGCCATTGAGAGATGCTTACTTGCCACAAGTAGAAGATTTTAGGCGGCGGATGGAGGCGGCGGGATTAATCGTTCTGATGGAGGGGGAAGAAATTGGGTTTGATGATTGGGAGGGGAGTGATGGGGAGGCGCTAGAGGTGCGGTGCTGGTGGGCTGTATGGGGATGGAGAGATGCAGCTTAAAGCTGGACAGGACTGCGCATGATGGCTAAGAGTTTATGATTAGATGACATCTTTGGGAGAGCGCGGTTTGATTTATTAGATTAGCAAAATTAGATTTATAGAATTATAGAAAATATAGATTGGTTATACCCCTGAACCAATGTGTACTGTGTATGTGTGTGCGTGTGCACTGTCAGATCCCACTTTTTCAAAAACCATGCAAGTAATTTGCTGTATGATGTCATGTGTTAGATCGCTCGGAAATTTATATTTCACAGATATTAAATCAATCAATTAGATATAATATAACTATTTCGTATATATTGGCTTATCAAATAGATATTGTAACACCATAACTTCAATAGCTTCCACCGGATCAAATCATACGCAAAACACGCAGTTATGGTTATAGGCCTCCTCACAATAGCATCTATCCCAACCGTCATCGGCGTTTGCGAAGGAGTGAGCGAGTAGAAGAAAGCAAATAAGCGCAAATCAGAGGAAAAGCGCCTGGAGAAATTTTACATCGATGTTTTCTGTGAGGCGAATTCCGAAGAGGCGAGGCAGTTACATGGTCGGAGGGTAGTATTAAGGGATAACATTACCTCTCAACGGGACCTAGAGAAAAACGAGCGCTATAAAACTAATAGAAAAAAAAAATCAGGTCTACCTTGATTCTGCGGCGTCTGACTCGCGCTCCATCCCCAGCCACACAGCCGAAGCCTTCTATATCAGCTACCCAGACGAGGAGCGTGAACCAACCCTCGGCCTCGTCAGCACCGTCTCCGTCGACCCGCCGATGCTCAATTGGATCTATATGGATAAAAATACATTTGAGCTGAGATATGGAAATCGGACGCAGAGTCGCGAGCACCTTGTCGGGCCCTGGGATTGGACGGAGGATCAGGTTGGGGTAACGGTGCAGGATATCGAGGGATTTGTAGCTGTGGAGGAAGAGGAGGGGGTTTGGGCAGTGTACTTTGATGCGAAGGGGGGATGAGTTGAAGTGGAGGGTTGGGGGAAAGAAGAAAGTTGTGGAGATTAGTTTGGAGAGGCGGTTGTTGAACCCGAAGGAAGAGAAGCAGGGAGAAGAAGGCTGAAGGTGTGAGAGTTTCGGTTCGATTTATAGGAGCTATGGAGTTTTTCAGTCCTAGGCGTCCGGTTATAGGCATATATGTCATATACATATATTCAAAATGCTTGCTTAGTCTTCGATTCCACCCCACGACCCGTTATCGCTTGCATTTCCTCCCTCGTCTGCCTGCCCTTCATACTTCCGCCGTTTGCTGGCCTTAGCTGCATCTCTCCGGTTATGTTCCTTTCGCCGCTCAAATCCACTCTTCGTACTGATCCGCGTTCTTCTCCGGTCCTTATCATCCTGCTCCCCCTTCTTCGTCATCGGCCGCCTGACCCGTACACCATGTTGCTTTAGATCCTTCTTGTCCTTCTTGGACAGATTAGGTAATGCATCTAGTAACCATTTCTGGATCCCTTTATCTTCAGAAACTCCCCGTAATTTCTCACTGGCAGCGATAACATTCGCGATATTTTTCACATAAGGGATGTCCTCTTTCGTGTAGAAAGTAACCGCTACTCCACCCTCACGTCCAGCTCGTCCTGTCCTGCCTACGCGATGGACATAGGAGGCGCTAGAATTGGGAATGTCATAGTTCACAACGCCGTTGATCCCGCGGAAATCCACCCCGCGCGAGAGCAGATCGGTTGTGATGAGGATCCATATTTCGCCTTTGCGGAAGCCCGCCATGACGTCAGATCGTTGCGAGTCAGAGAGTTCAGAATGTAGAACGGCGATGCGTGAAGAACCGCCGGCTTCAGCAGGGATATCGTACTTCAATTCGGAGTGTAGTGCCACAGCTCTTGAAATGGTTTGCGTGAAGACCAAGAACGGAGGTCGTAGATGAGTGTCTGAGGTGGAACCTCCGCCCTTGGGATGTAGAAGTTGTCGTAGTCCCAGAAGCTTCCCTTGTTCAGTCGCCGCGTAGACAAGTTTGTGGGAGATGTTGGGGATGGCGGTATCTTTCAGTCCAACAACCAGGCGGACCAGAAACGATTCAGAGCGTAGTCCTAGTGATTGCTGGCGTTCGCCAATAGTGGACTTGGCAAGCTCTTCGATGCTAGACCCCATTGTCGCGGACCATAGCCCAACTCTAAGTTGGGCATTGGTGCACGCGCTCCATACATTTAGGGTTTGGTCACGGAACAGAGGGTCTAGGAGTACGTCGGCCTCATCAAGTACAACGCTTCGTACTGTTGGTAGAGTGGCGGTAGAGTGTTTTTTGTTACCGGAAAGAGAATTTGCAAGTAACAGGGGAGTTGAGACCAGAATATCGCTTTTTGTGATAGGGGCCTTTCCTCTAGGTCGCTTTATCTTTCTGGCTTCATCATCTTCGTCTTCGGAGCTCCCGCTTTCCTCACCCGAAGGAGCTTCTTCTTCCCCTTCCGTATCCTCCACAACTCGCATTCCCTTCCGCATGGCTGTGATTTTAACACCAGTGCCCACCATGAGCTTTCTGCCCTCGTTTACAATCTGAGAGACAAGCTCCTTTGTCGGAGCCAAGATGATTGCAAACAACTCCCTCGACTGGGATTTGTCTTGGTGGTGATGTCGCATTATTTTATTGATGAGCGGAATCATGAACGCTAGTGTTTTTCCACTGCCAGTAGGTGCAACGACCAATAGATCCGGTTCAAGCGCGGGTTGGACTGACTGGACCCCGTTCTCTTGGTTTCGCTCACTTGCGCTTTGACAATCCCCAAGTAACAATGGAAGTGCTCCGAGCTGGACCTCAGTAGGCACGCTGTATCCTTGGTTGACAATGTTTTCTGACAGCCGCCGAGAAATCTGATATCTTGTTCTCAACTGCTGGAATGATACCAGTGGTTGGGGATACATCCTCTGAGCCTTCCTCTGCTGTTTTCGGCTCAGAACAACGGGAGGTTGTTCGTCCTTTTGCTTCTTTTTCCGTTTCTTCGACTTTTTTTCATTTTCCACAGCCACAGGGGGTGGTGTTCGAAGGTCTGTTACTTTGATCTTGTGCGCCGTTAAGATCGCTTTCCGTTCCTCCTCACTCAGTGGGGCTTCTTTTGTAGCAATTCCACCTGCAACATCTCCCTTCTGTTCATCATCCTCATTTTGCTTTCGCCTTGCTGTTTTCGCATCGCTGCTAGAGAATCCAAGAGCTGAAGGTCCAGAGCCAAAAAAGTCAAGAGTCACAGCCGTAGAATCTGCGGAGGCTTCATTCCCATCTAATCCTCTCTTTCGTTTCCTCCCTTTGGATTCACTCTGTTCGTCGTAAGCTTCTGCGGCGTCGAGTCCATGGCGACGAGAAAATAGCTGTGGGGATTCAGCTTCGCCGGCTGACGGTAAAAAGTTTGATATCGCCTGCTCTCTGGAAACGGGACCCGGTTTAAGTTTTGTCGACCGGGTGAGGAGCTTGAAGGCATCCATCTCTACTAATCTGATCACTGGTCACTGCCTAGATTTGCATTGCCCTGCTGTCATTGATTTCGCGCTGAGAATGAATTGTTCGCTGTTGATCGTTTTAAATTTCTTCGAGCATTGGACATAGTCACGTGATCAAAAAACTATTTCCGGGATCAAGGTTTGCGACAGAGAAATGAAGGACTGCACTCCTAAACACGAGTTTACGAGAAATTGGGATTGCGAAGACAAAATATTTAAATGAGACAGCTATGTTCAATCAAAGGAAATCTAATTTTGAAGTATTTAATCTGACAACAAAATTACACGAAGGGACCCAAGCAGGCGACTCAGCGACCACAGACCAGCTTGGAATTCCATCGTCTATCATACAGCCGGAGGAGAATACGAGAATGGACAAACAAAAAGAGAGTTAGGAGAGAGATATGTTGCAGAGATTTTTAAACGAAAAAACGGGCCTAATTTATCTAATGCGCATGTGCAGTCTCCCCCCGATATCCTACAAGCTTGAATCGCCCGATAATCTCGCCGACGGAGAAAAAGCCAATTACTTCTGCAGTCGTGACACCGACAATGGCCAGTTGCTTTTTATCGACGTTCCGGAGGGAGAGGAGGAAAGATTCTGGGTTGAAAGACTTAGAAATCTGTGACATGAAGGTCTTTGGCTGGCGGAGAGATCTGAGGAGAGGCTGGTAGTATCCTGTGAAAGTGGCCACGCTTCTAAATTTGTACAAGTTAGGTTAGCAATAGATTTCCACATTTGGTAAAACGGATTCCAGCAAGACTTACGGCGGGGACATATTCTGTCCTCTGAACACTATTTTCGACAGCTCCAAGCCAACTCTGGAGTAGTAAATTGTGGGAGGTATTAATGCTGGATCAAGTCGGTTTTGGTCAGCATTTTAGATGTTAAATCGAGGCAGAAATCTCAAGCAAAACATTAAAATATCTCCATTGAGATCTTCAATGATAGTCCCAGAAATGGCGATCCTTGTAGCAAAGAATTGGGTTCTTACAGTCGACGAAAGCGATGAACCTTCCCGTTCGCCCACCTACTCTCCTGAGGGCTCCACCAAGCCCGGAGAGAGCATTGCTAATAGCAGGGCCAGCAGTGGCAGCAGCCTTGGAAATACCGGCAGATGCTTTTGACGCCGCAGAAGTGGCAGCGTCTTTGGATTTAGAAGCAGCCTCGGCCGTTGTTGAGGCAGATCTGAAGGCGGGTTTCCGGATCAGATATCGCGAATGCCGCAGAACGGTGCGGGATGTTGTGGCGGACATAGGGACCGTGGGGATGCGAGCAAGCCGTAGAAAAGAATGACAGACAACGGTGAGGGAGGCCCTGGAGAAGAGGATGGCTCTCAATGGCAGCGGGGTGGAGAGCGATAGCCGGCGTCGTTGACTGGGTCCGAGTTGGATAATTGTTTGAATTTTGGACTTCGGGAAGTTAAGGGAAAAGAAGGAATGCTTGGTCATCAGACACGTGATGGTGATGAGGCTCCTTTGTTTATATGGGAACCTACTCCTCCTTATCGAGCTGACTTCGTTTCCCTTTAATATTATATTATGTATATATATTCCTTTTCAGCCACGATGATCTTCTTAATGGATCAGAGAACAGACTCTAGCTGTTGGGTCTCATGGCTGGGTAGTGACAGTGAGCTTCTTCATCTGCAGAGTCAGTCTCTCAAGGTTGACTATCTGTACCTGTCAATATCAGAGGACGTCGCAGCACAACCTTGCATGACATTAACTTGAATGTCTTTCAAATTCCGGGTTGTTCCTTTACTGAACCATAGACCAAGTTTACGGCCTGGCTTGGTGACGGGTACTATACAATGGGTATAAGTCCCAACGAGCTCACCTTTGTTGTGGAGTCGTATTGAGAGAACGCACAGGGAAGGACTTTGAAGAAGCATGAATACCTCAAATTTGAAAGCTTCATTATCATTCAACCCATCCTACAATTCCCGAATGCCTCAACGGATATTATTTAACTATTAAACGTCTAGAGATTCTTTCAAACCTATTTGCCAAAGTCAGCTTTCAATACCCCTTACGTTCCCTCTGGAATATTCTTTCAGATTCGTTCTTTCACTACGATCTCGCCAGCCATGGAATTTTGCCATGGGTTCACAATGGAACAAGGTGGGTTTTCTTTCTTGTCTATCGCGTTACTTCCTATAAGTGCGTCTATAGCAGAACCCATAGGACGGGAAATTACACTATCGGAAATCGATAATGGTTCAAATGTCCCAAGTAATATTCGACAAGCCATATCCCCTGCCGCAGAAGCGGTCGTGGAAGTTGACTGCACTGCAACGGCTACTTAGCCGTTTCTACCAGAAGCGCAGAGATTCACGCCATGAACACACAGGCCTCCTCTCCAGAGGCAGAGATAGATTCCCTGGCGCAGTAGACACTTCACATCACTTCCTTTATAAACGCCACAAACTTGAATCACCACCGGGCTCGGCTCCATTAAACCTACACCCGAGAAGCCATGACCCCGATCGAAGGAGACAAAACGAAAATTCTAGTTCAAGTCTATTTGTTGAACCGTCTAGAGGGCTGTGCCCTTCAACCCTGTGCATTGCACTCACCGATGCCACGGATATTTCACGAAGTATAGGATTACGAAGAACAAATAGCGTTCGAAACCTGAGAGTTTTAGTGCATGAAGCAGCTATTGCCGCAAAGGCCGACATTAAGGCTACTTGTAATACGAGTACAGTGTCTGTCCCCGAAATGCCGACGAAATTCTTAATAGATTTTCTCGAGGGTAGGGCTGCAATCGAAAACTTGGACCATTTCAATGCTTTTCTCATTGTCAGCACTACGGCCCAAGGAGATCGTGTCCTCTACGCATCGGAGGGCCTATGGTCAGGTGAAGATTTCGAAAATGAAGAACACTTCTTGCATCACAAACGCGCGCTGGACCAAACGAACGATATTATCACCGAGATCGCGGACGATGGGAGCGAGCGGATGCATCTTATGCTATTCGGAGGACTCCCATCTACAGGAGGGCGCACCGGCCTTGTTCTCGCATCACTCATCGACGTAACCAATTTTCTCGACGCCCTCACTTATAGTGATCTCGAAATTGACGTCCTTATACGGCATATCAATTCCACGAGTCCCCAGGATGTAGGCCCAGAAAACAAACCGGAAAATCCATCAGAGACCTCGGACGTCATGCGGCAGCTGGTAAATCATGTCGCTAAAAGTATCCTGGCGCTTTACAAAGATTACTTCATCCTCTCCCAGTCTGCGAATGCGCCGGGGTTTTATGAGATTTCCCATGTTTCGCCTAACCTCTACGTCGGTGGGGAATATGTGACTGGCCACCTGAGTCATACTCCGCAAGACGTGATAAGTCGAATTAGCCTAATGATGGGGCAAGGCAAACGCTTTTTTCTCGAAGTTAAATGGGGCAGTCATGGGAGAGAAAAGCGACTGTATTGTATCCCTATGTTGAGTATGGGTCGCCGGCGCTGGCTCTGCATGCTGGTCGATCTAATCCATCCTATTCTGTGGCAAGAAGAATAGACGAAATGTCCAGCACGGCTCCTGGACACATCGATAAATTTCAGTCTCATAGGGAGAAAGTCCCAAATGTAGATGAACCGGGCACAGCGTTGTTCCCCTGAATGTGCATGGGCTAAACATGGCACGACGTCACCGCGATAAACTTCGTGCCGAGAAGAACCTTGAACCAGCAAACTTTAGCCTTGTTGTTCTTCACCATCAATGATTACACAGCTTCCTCTTGCAATTTCGATTCAAAAATGCCCATGTCATTTATCCTGACTTTCTCCACTTCTTTCACTTTACTATTTCCCTGATTTTGTGGGTCAAATTGCGAGTGCGTCACAATATTATACCTCCATTCGCTGCCCCTCATCGCACCCCACACCTCTGCATTTTGTCTAGCTATGTGTTTATCAAACCTAGATGAAACACCAACAACACTCCTATAAATTCCTACTCACATCATTGCTGCAAAGAACCAAGAGAGAGAAGGAAAGAAGAACCATCTTCCACTTATTGCTTAATGCCACATTGTTAAACATGCCCAACTTCACCGCGCCTTCCAAGCCAAATATAGGAGTTTATACCAACCCAAACCATGATCTCTGGGTGGCAGAAGCCCAACCATCTGTTGAGGATGTGGCCTCTGGAAAGAGCCTGAAGCCTGGCGAAGTCACGATTGAGGTCCGAAGCACAGGTATTTGTGGGTATGTGAGAGTACCATCCGCAAGCGATTATATGCAATCAGCATATGGACAACTGTCAAACGCCATCCCCCCCTTCACTATGACAAAATTTAACTAACCATAAGCATTCCCTCTCAGCTCCGACGTCCATTTCTGGCATGCCGGCTGCATAGGACCCATGGTCGTAACGGACAACCATATCCTCGGCCACGAGTCCGCCGGCACAATCCTTGCCGTCAGCCCTGAGGTCACCTCCCTAAAGCCCGGCGACCGCGTCGCCATCGAGCCTAATATCATCTGCAACGAGTGCGAACCATGCCTTACAGGTCGTTACAACGGCTGCGAGCATGTGCGCTTCCTATCCACACCACCCGTCGACGGACTGCTTCGCCGCTATGTCAACCACCCGGCCATCTGGTGCCATAAGATTGGGGATATGGACTTCGAAGACGGTGCACTACTGGAGCCGCTTAGTGTGGCGCTCGCGGCGGTTGAGCGGGCTGGTTTGCGGCTGGGCGATGCTGTGGCTGTGGCCGGGGCAGGACCGATTGGTCTTGTTACGCTACTCTGTGTGCGGGCGGCGGGGGCTACTCCTATTGTCATCACGGACATTGATGAGGGACGGTTGAGATTTGCGAAACACCTGGTGCCGGATGTGCGGACGTATCGGGTGCGGTTAGGTGATTCGCCTGAGACGACGGCAGCTGGAATCATAAACGAAATGAATGATGGGGTGGAATGTGAAGCTGATACGCTACGGCCGTCACTTGTGATTGAGTGTACGGGCGTTGAGAGCAGTGTTGCTGCGGCAATTTGGAGTGTGAAGTTTGGTGGTAAAGTGTTTGTGGTTGGCGTTGGGAAGAATGAGATGACGATTCCGTTCATGCGGGTCAGCACTTTTGAAATTGACCTGCAATATCAATATCGGTATTGCAACACGTGGCCCCGGGCTATACGGCTGGTGCGCAATGGAGTGATCGACTTGAAGAAGCTAGTTACCCATCGTTTTACTCTGGAGGATGCTGTAAAGGCATTTCAAACAGCTGCGGATCCGAAAACGGGGGCTATCAAGGTGCAAATAATGAGCTCTGAAGAGGATGTTAAGGCTGCGAATATTGGCGCATAAGGGGCTCTGCTTATTTCGAATGGCTACAGCGTGATATCCTTTCGGGGCATTGCACTATCATTCAATACAGTCCAGATATAAACCTGAAGGGAACCCATGAGTATGTACAGGAGTTCGCCAACAATCATGCATCCAGTGGGCAACTAGTTAGCCTGCAGCAAGAAACCATGCGGTTCAATAATATCCCTAATTCCCTTGGCTAAGCTCCCCTCTAAGGTTCTTATACACAACCTCTTCAATTTTATCCGCAACCTCGACCGCAAGCGGATCAACAGGAGGGAGGTAATGGAAAAACAACCCAGCGCAAATGCCAGAATTCCGATCAAGCCACTAGATTTACACCCAACATATATCAGCAAACGAAAGCCCCATGTATGTACGAAGCAGAATAATGATAACGTCAAGAATATAAAAGAGAGATAGTGAAGGAAAGGATCCCAACATACCCAAAACATATTAGTAAGTCCACCACCACCAACGCAATTCGCCGGCCTCATACCAGGCACATCGTCAAGGTTAATGCAGACAGTAAGGCCCATGGTCACCACTTTCCCCGTGGTCAGACTCCTATTCAACCTCTGGCCGCCGGGGGTATTAAATAAGTCGTTTATGAGCTTCTTATCCTCTAGCTGCGGCTTGAAGATCTGCTCCACGCTTTCGGGTTTCAGCACGCTCCCACCGCCGGCAAGCAGCGTTGCTAGCAGCGTGGTGTACTCGCGCGTTGTGGAGTAGAGGCCCGTACCCCCTAGACAGTCGGTTGCGGGAATGGGGTATATGGGAACCGGCATAGGGGTGAATTTTCCCTCGGCATTACGGGAGCTGATTTCGACTCGACGGGCGGCGAAATTGGGGATGTTTTCGGGGCGGAAAGTTGTGGATTTTAATCCCAGCTTGTCGTGGATGTTTTCTTTCATGAACTCTTCGAGGGTTTGTTTGGATACCACTTCCACCTATTAAAAAGGGGGGGCGTGTTAGACAGGGAATATCACCCCGGAAATCTCAGTCCGCTGGGGGGGGGGGGGCTAACCGCTCGACCGGCCCAGTCAACACCAGGGCCATATGCCCAGTTTTCCCCTGGCTCGAAAAGGAGTGGTTGTCGGTATTGCTCCTAGTACGCTAGTTAGTAAACTGTTTATCACATTTTCCTCAGGCAGGATAGCTGCGTTGTATACATAAGAACCATCCATCTTGGTAGTATCCCGCCTCTGGTAGGCATTCCACTTCTGCAAATTCTCACGGGTAAGATGATAAGCAAACCCACTTGAATGCGTAAGGAGCCTCCTTAAAGTGAGCTTCTTCGACGCTTTCCGAACAATCGGTTTCCCTAAACAAAAAACCAAATACCTAAGTAAGTAAAACAATTGCACGAGTTAACCCTGTGCCTCACATCCCTTCTTACTCTTGTAAAATAATAATAATAATAATAATAATAATAAAATCCAAAGACATTTAATTTATTATCTTACCATCCTCCTCAAATCCCTCCAGAATCTCCAGCTCCGCCAACTCTGGTACAACTTTCCCCACATCGTCGTCCAGGGTTATCAGCCCTCGCTCCACCGCCACCATCACAGCAACCGCTGTGAACACTTTGGTCATTGACGCGGTGTAGAAGGGGGTATCTTCCGTCACGGCCTCGCCGGACCCGTCTACCTTGGTATTGCCATGGCTGGATGAGTAGAGGACCTTTCCTGTAATTGGGAGTTGTGCGTAGAATGTGGTTAGTAGAGATGGTAAACACATACATAGGAGAACAATGGAGATGGGCTTGTTTTTTTTTTTTTTTTTTTTCTCCTTTTTTTAATAAGTAAGTTAACCACTTACCAGCCTGATCAACAGCCCTGAAAGTGACGGCGGGGAATGGTGTCGTCGTCGACTTTGAGGCGTATTCTTCAAATATCTTGTTGATTTCTGTCGACATGCTTTTTGGTTATTTTTTTATTTTTATTTTTATTTTTATTTTTTTTTTTCTCTCTGGTTTTCGTAGATTTGTCTAGGTTTCCCACAGCCTGGTTATGGGAGGGGAGGGTATAACTATATAAACAAACACCTCCACCGTTGGAGAGATATCTCCCCGCCTTCAAGAGCAGTCAGCTATCCCCGACTACTAGTTAACTAGTGCTATCGGTAGCTCCATTCTCCCCGCCTTCGAGGCCAGTGTGAACCCCGCTATTATTGCATCTTCTCGCAGGAACTGAGCTGAGTGAGTGTGCATGTCATGTAGATGATGGGTTCGATAGGTTCAACAAATCGTCCAGACCACCCCAATTGTCACCCGTATCTCGCTGCGTAGAGCTCGTATCTAGGAGTTTGCTCCGCAGGGCCTCCTGTCGCTGATTTGCCTGAGTACAGTTACCGCTCGAGTTGACGGACCCGCGGATCATAGGAAGCTCTTTAAGTTAGACCGTCAGTTGGAACAGTCCATTGATGAGGAAAACAAATCTAGAGCAATAAAAAATACAAAATAAGGGAGGGCGTAGGTAGGGAATCCTGATATCCTGAAATCATTGAATGGTATACCTAAAAGAGCTTTTTCAATTCAACCTAATAAAAACAGACGCACCCGACCAGCCAAATGTTGTCCCTTTGTTAGTTCCCCTTTCTTTTCCTTTTTGTGCACGCCTACCCAAAATTAAAACACCAAATTCAAAGAAAATCAACGAGCTATCCCACCGAACGGGGATAGGAAGAGTCATTGTCATGAAGTAGTATGCCCGTCTCAGAAGGTTTTGTTTTTTTTTCCTGGTCGAATAATGGATTTTCGGCTAGCCTTGAGGCATGAAAGTAATCGTTGAAAAGACTGCGAAAGGAAATAACAAAACCAAGAACGGAAATGTCCAAAGAACAAACAGCCAAGTGAAAGAGAAAGCCATCCCATCCGAATTAACACCCCGGGCCAGAACATATCCGACCTACGTATGAAGACTAAATACTAAATACCAAAACTATACCGAAACAATCAAACGCAGAAACAGAAAAAGGACACGGTCAAAGGGAATAACACAAGAGTGAGAAGAAAAAGATTTTTTTTTTTCACCACCCATCATGCTCTCTGATTCCCGACATGTGCGCCGTAGCCCATCTGTTCGCCCTCCCCAACCTGACGGGGGTCTAGTTTGAAAGTTTTGTTGGGGGTTAGGAGGGATCAAAGGAAACTTCCTAACTCGCGTCAAGAACGCCCGCTTACCCGTGGGTTCGCCATCGTTCAGAAACATCATCGAAATAAACTTGCATATCGTACACTCCTAACCTACTAGATGCATATCCATTCCAGTTCAGCGCCAACTTCCCCAATCGGCCATGCTGTCGTATGATGCCTTGTTTTCTCTCATGTGCGTGGTTGTAGATTTCTCTTTTAGTCATGACACGGTTCAGATGACGTGGATGGCGATCATGATGTGGAGGATGATGTTGCCTCTGTTCCTTCTACGGCAACGGCAGCATATGAGGGAGCCGCTAAATGTGGTCCGCGTGGGTGGGGATCAATGGCAGCGGTCCGCCTCTCAACTTTTAGCTGCTTGGCAGTCATGATGTTATCGATGTTCGCTTCGTAGGCTTCCGGGTGTGGGGTGCTAGTGCCAGATTCATCTACCACGTCGGTAGCTCCGCCGTCGTCGCCGTGCATTTCGATCACGGCGTTCCGGATTTCACGGGTAACTCCCTTGAAAGCATCCATGCCGGCCTTCTCAGCGGCGTGCACGTGGGTTTGGTGTTTGCCGCCTTGTTCAGTGCGGTGGAGGTAGGAGCGCACGAAGAAGCGGACAAAGAGGAAGGTCAGAGGCAGGAGGTAGATGACGTTGAGCGAGACCGCGAAGGCTTGACCAGTGGTATCTAGGCAGGTGAAGGTGCGAGGCTCCAAGCCACTCCGGATTTCCTGCTTCCCAAGAACAGCCTGGGCTGCTTGACCTCCATCTACGCCAAATAGTTTTCCATCCGTATTGAGGACGTTTTCGGCAACACCTTGAGCTCCAGCTGCGCGAAGAGCCAGCTTTTTGAGCCAAGGACCCATACCACCAGCAGTGCTGTTTGGCGCGGCAGCCACGGCACCGGGTATGGCGGAAGCGAGGGGTCTCATAGCAACCGGATGCGGAACAGTAACTGGGAATGTATAGGAAATGAAAAGATAGGAAGCGGCCAAGGTAGTGCCAATCAAGAACTGGGTGATCTGCATGGTGGTTAGACTGCGCTTGATGCCAACAGGCACTCGAACGGATAGTGCAGTCAATGTGTAATAGAAATACTATTTGAAAAAAAAAAAAAAAAAAAAAAAAAAATCGGTTAGTTTTAGACAGCCGTTCTATCCCAATTGATATAGCAAATAATCGGATAAATATGGGAAATGGTGGCAAGGCTTGGAAGTAAGAAATACGTACCATCATAGCGTGAATGGCAGAGTTGAAGAGGGCGAAGATCCAAATAGGGGCGGCCATGTATCTAATTCCAGCCCACATACACATCATTGCGCCAGCGTGGTGATAGGTCTGGAGAGTTGAACTATTTTTTCCCTTGGCCAGGATGATGGCGGTGTCGAGAACCTCATAGAACTTGGAAAGATAGAAAAGCCAGCCGAAGAAGGCCAATCCTTGATTCCAAAGGCGGCCGAGGTCTGTGGGATCGGGAACACCCTCTGGGCTTAGTGTGTATAGCGGGCTGGTCATAGTCCATTTTTCAGCGTTGCGATCATACACAGCAGCATTGCCCATGCCACGGGGCCCGTTGATTTTGCAGAGCATATCGACGATCCTCACGAGGTTGTGCTTCTCAGTTCGTTCAGGCCAAGACAGGTAGAAGGTGCGGACCATGCCGACAAAAGTCCAAAGAGAGTAGATGGTCAGGAAGATATTGTGGAGGATGACAAAGAGCTTGAAGGCTCTCGTCTTGCTAAAGGCCCATGGTTTGTTACCCCTCTGTTTATTGACATAGTTCATTGCGACGACGGTTGTAGCATAGATGGCGGCAACGGTCAGGGGGACCTGGGGTTCTAGAAGCTTGCGATAGAGGCTTGTGGAGATGTTGAAGGGTTGATTCCATGTGCGCTCAGCAACTGTGGGCGGTGGGATGGTCTCTGGGAGAGGAGAAGGAGGGAACTTGAAAAAAGAGGCGGGAGGGAGGCGTATATGGACGGAGGCACTCATGGCTGCGGTATTGTTGGGTAGTCAATCAACAATCAACACGCGGCGAAATGAATGGTGTAGCAGAGGACGGCTCAAAGCAGCCACCACCGAATCGAAGCTGGATGATAGATATAGTTATTTTGCTAGTTAGAGTGATAGCAATCGCGCGGTAAGTCGCAGGCAACGGTAACAGCTCTGGAAAGGTAGCAGGCAGGCAAGTTGAATGGACGAGGAAGAGGTGGAGGCGTTGAGAGCTGCGACAAAACAGATATATGGGAGGGAAAAAAAAAAAAGAAAGAAAAGAGAGTTGATGATGATGTTATAATATCATCATAACTTGGCAACGGTCCGTCCAGAACAAGTCCAAAGTCAAAAAGTAGGAAAAAGGAAGAACAGGAAGAACAGGAAGAACACGGCTCAAGACAACAACAAACTAAAACAACAAATTATTGGAATAAATAAGTAAATAAGTTGGAAAAGCAGGAGCAGCGGGAGGCAATTGGGAGAAGAAAGCGAGACACACAAAGAATCGAGGAGAGATAGATAGATAGTTTTATAAGCAAGCAGGGAAGGAGAAGGAAACCAAAGAAGATATTCATTCATTCCCCTAGATCTCCAGATCGGTCAGGAAGAGAAAAGAAAAAAGAAAAAAGAAAAGAGAAAAGAGAATATTAAGAGAGTGGGGAGGGAGGATGTCGGCGTGCTTCTTACTGCGTTATCGTATCTCCATCGCGGTCTGGTCTGGTCTGGTCTGGCGGGTAAAATACGGAGTAAATATACGGGGAGAAAGAAGTTCAGGGGGATTGGATTGGATTGGATTGGATTGTTGGGAAAAATCGCACGGCGCTCTTCCAAGGGAAACGAAACCAGGGCCCAGACTTGAGTTATTTTTGAGTATTTAGTTATTTAAGTCGCACGAAGTAACCTTGGGATTCCTGCATATCCAGTAAGTTGAGCCTGGGGTAGCGGAATAAGCAGAGAGAGAGAGGAGAGAGAGATAGTAATTTACACACCACCACCCCCCCCCCAAAGAGAGAACGAGATATCGCATCCTCTTTCTTGGCTGCTGCTGCTGCTGTTGCCACGGCGGGCAAATTTTTGGGTTTACTACAAGTATGTGTGATGATTGTGAAGATGTCCTTTTCACTTGCAATTGGCACAGCATGAGTGAGAGTACCCCATTATTGTTGATTGTTGAAAAGGCATGTGAATGACACTCAGAGCTACATATTGATTGCTCATTGGTGTTCAATCATGGCGATATCATTGATGTCGTTGATGTCAATGTCGCGTTTTCTGTTTCTGTTTCTGTTGATGTTTTCTTTTTTTTTTTTTTGTTGAATCTAGATTGCCTTTTCGGGACTAGCGTGGTGGGCCCATTTGCCGCTCAGCCTCAGCCGCGAGTCACTTGATCTCCGCTGACTCAGCACATCCCAAACCAACCTCAGCCCTAAGGGAAAGCCCTAAATTGCCGGATTCGGAGAGAGAGAGAGAACTGATGTAATATTGTAGTAAATACTACTGCGTAACTATGTACTATACTACTTAGCTGCTTTAAATTCTTATACATTACAGGAGGTGGAAAACAAAGGAGTGTTTGTTAAATTTCATTTCTATCGCTGTACCATACCTACCTGTTTCCTTTTTCTTGTTGAGCCCCGAATTAGCGTCTGGCGATTCTTGTTGGGGACCGAGAACCCGCATTTGCTGGAGTTTTTGGAATGTTCCTCGGCGCTTCTTTCTGCGGTAGTCCTAGCCCTACATGTGACATGTGATGTCATGTGATGTGATGTCACCGCCGAACCTAACTATATTCCATGGATAAAGGAGGATAAAACGGGGACAAATAAAAGAGTAGTTACCTAGGTATTCTTTCATATCAACTTCCGTGTCGATGGAACCACTGATGTCATTATTCTGTCGACTTGCACTGAGAAATCAATCAATTTTCTCTTAATCTTAAATAATAACCTTTGGCAATATAAACATGCTGTGAACTTGACCATTGCAATAATAACCCCCCCCCACCCCCCCCCCCAAAAAAAAAAAAAAAAAAAAAAAAAAAACCGCTGCGTAACAATCGCTTTCTGAACCAAACCTCACCAGCTAGAACAAACCCCTTCCAAGCCGACGTCAACAACACCTCGCTCTGACCCATCCCTCAGCTGACTCCTGCCCACAGGCCTATACACCTTCACAACCCCCTCCACCATCTCCCTCAAGTTATACTCCCCCTCCGCCACCACCCTTCGAACCTTCGCGTTCTGTTCTGCCACTTCAACAACCTCCTCCCCTGCCCCTCCCCGCCCACTTCTCACCCCTACAACAACAGCCGTATGCCGTCCAACTCTCACATTCTCCTCCCCCCTCCCCAACCCCCCAAGCACCTCCACCACCCTCACCCTCCGAAAATGCCCATCCTCAATCTCCAGCACATCCCCCGACATCACCCCCGCTAGCCCTAGTATCCCCTCAACCGGTATCCCACCTCCGGCCTCCCACTCAAGCACACATGCCCCATGTCTCCGCCCAACACTCCGCATCGGCGCCTCGTACCCCGCCATCTCTGCCGCCCGCCCCGCACCCTTCAGCGCCTCCGCCGCTAGCGTCCAGCACTCGCCGTCCCCCACAGTCCTGCCCATGTGCTCCCGACAGTACGAGACGATGTGCGGTCCGTACCGGTGCGCGGCGAGTTGCAGTTGCACCTGTACCTGTATATCGCTTAACCTGCCACCTTCATCATCATCATCATCTTCTTCTTTTTTTTCTTCTTCTTCTACTTTCCCATGGGGAAGAACAACAACAAGCTTCTGCTCCCCCCGCACCGTCCCACGGATATCCGCCGAGTTCCACCGGACGCGCACCTTGGTTATCGTGCGCCGGTCGCTGACGTCCCATTGAACGGCGCCAATGAGCGTCCAGTCTTGGCTGCCGCGCGGGCACAGTGAATCGATGCACTCCCACTCGTAGTTCGTGCGCAGGATCGGGGTGGGGAGCTCGCGGAGGGCCGGGTAGGGGAATGTAGGCGGCGTAGTAGCGAACCAGTTCTCGTCGAGGTTGAGCGGGATGGTGAAGAGCTGGCTTTGCGGGGTTGGAGGGGGAGCGGGAGGGGGACTCCCCGGTGGTGGGGTTCTGGGAATGGGAGGGCCGCCGAGGCGGGTTGGGGGCTGACTGATCTGGATCATGTTGGGTGGGCTGGTTCTATGTTTTTAAATATCTGTGGTACCTGTATAAGGTGTGATGTGCAAGCAGATATTTTGAATATTTGCTCGAACCTGGAGTTGGCAAGAGAAGTGGGAGGAGCAAGAAACACTGCGGTGGGAGAGTTTTGGATATTTATATACGTACACCAGAGCCGATATTGAGAGACAATTAATGGGCAGGATGAGTGAAGAAGCACCGTGAATAAACAATTTATACAACGGCCGACAAAGAGCAGACAACAAATTTCAGAAATGCAAGATTCCTCCATCTCCCCGTGGTTTCCCATACCCACCACAGCTCATGATGAACCAAATCTCACAACAAACAGGGGGGAAAGTTATCAAAAGCAGATATGTTTAATGCATTATTTACCAATATTAGTGCTCGGGAGCTTTGTGCGGGTAGGTACAGGGTCATGCGGCTGACAGGCCATCATCATTAATATGAAACCATCTTAGCGGGTAATGATATTAAAAAAAAAAAAAAAAAAAAAAAAAAAAAAAAAAAAAAAAAAAAAAAAAAACCCATACCATTCACAAGAATAGTGATATGCAAAAAGAGTGGACAAAGAAAACACGTCAGCAAAATTGAATGATATGCCAAACACCTCTTCAACTCCTATCGCCTCGAGTTGCGCCAGAGAGAGCCAATGTCCCCTCCAAAGCATGAAATCCAAGAAAGCAACAAGAAAATAAAAGTCGAAACAAAAAAGCAAAAGGAGAGGCGCTAGTAGTTTAGGTTCGAGAAACGCCTTTATTATGTGATCAAACGCAGTTGGGCCATGCCTCGTATGGTTTAACGAGGTTTGGTTCCCAGTGGTAAGGGTGGAGGCGGGGTTACTTGGGGTGGTCCGTCAACAGGCAGAGCTTGCATGCTCGGCTTCTTTGGTGGGGGAGGAGGAGGAGGAGGTTTGCGATTATTCAAAGCTTCCAGATCAGGTCGGTTGAAAGCATTGGGCGGGTGAGGCGAATTATTGTAGGTGGCGTTCGCATGTGGTGGCGGAGGTTGTGAATCCGGATACGCGGGGGATTTCTGGTCTGCTATAAAACTGTTTATTCGCTTTGAAATACCATACTTTTGATCTATCTGGAGCAGCTTCTTCTTGCCCGAGTCTATCTGGTCACTGTGGCGCTCGCGGAAGTTCCTTGCTGTCGACGCCGCACTCCGCGCATCACTTGCAGATACCGATGTGGGGTCCCGGCTGAATGCGTGAGCAGTTCGTACTGCGTGTTGCTTCTGCTCCATGGTAGTTCCCTCAGCGGGTCCCGCTGCTGCAGGTGAAGTTGAACTTGTAGACGAGGTATTCATTCTAGAAAATAGGTTGTGCAGTTCGCTCTGGGGGCTGTATGGAGACGCGGCTCCCACCGACCTGGAAACTGTTTCCCGTTGACCAGAGTCTGTCTTGTTAATGCCGAGACTTGGGACAGAGACGCCAACATTACCCAGGCGACTAATGGCCCCTTGGTTTACTGGCGATACCAGTCTGTTCGAAGTAGAATCATACGCTGGAGGTGGCGAAGGAGATGGAGATGGATGTGCTGCACCTCGAGGAGGTAACCTAGGAGGCAAGGAAGGTTTTGGTTTAGGGGTTGGTTTTGATCGTAACTCGTCCGCCGATCCGGTTGAAGTGGTGAGCCGCTGAGCAGGAGGAGGGAGAAAATTATCCGTAGATAACCCAGTGGTGTTTGCTCTATATGGCACAGGAGGCGGGGCTTTCTTTGAGCGTTCTGCTTCCTCAGCCTGTCGTTCCCTCTGCTCTCGCTGCCGTAGTGGTTGGACTTCTGAAGCGCGAAGAGGCGCACCCAATCCTGACGTTGGGCTGGAGATCCCGCCACCCCCGCCGTACCTGTTTATGTGTTTGGGCGGGGGAGGGAAGGATGATGGGTCTTTCAGAGAAGCCAGCGGTCGAGCTGAATGTTCAGCACGTCCATCAGAATTACTCTTTCCCTTGCCTACCCATCCGGCCTAGATACATGAGAAAACGGTCAGCCATCACGGTCCCTCCGCTGGTGCGCGCTTGATGAACAGAGGATATCACATCGCGGAAAGCAAAGGCAGAAACAGAAGTAAACGTACGACTTGGTTGATGCCTTTGAAATCACCCCGCCAGCTCTCCTTATTACCATCTTTCCCTTTCGGATGCCACCCATCCTTGACTATTCCTCGTAGTCCGCTCATGTTGACACGCCTAGGGTTCAACCAAGTAGTATTAATCCGGTGATTTAATAGAATAGCGAGCGTGGCGCGTTCAAATATTCCCAGCGATGGTCACTCATAGTTTCCTCTGCAAAAATGATCCAATGCTACCCAAGTGTCGCAAGCGTCCCGTCCTAGTTGTAAGATTTTGAATAGACGACGGACGTGCTGGATGGAAGGAGGCCAAAGACCGGCCAAGCCACATGACTTGCCTGATCTGGAAATTAAATCACGTGAGGCGGATGATACCTAGTATTTCCAGCCGGGGGAAGGAAACCAGAACGACCATAGCTAACTTATCCCCGTATATTTCTTCAAGGTGTAGGTTGTTCAAGCATTCTTCTGCTATTCTCAACACGCCAGAATTCCATTCTCCAATATTAAACTATAGCAAAAATATCGCCGTTGAAACAGCTCTGCCTTCTAGACAGAATTGAAAAAAGTTACCCCAAGAACGCCAATTACATCTATCCTCCCAGTTTTTATTTTTAGAAGCAAAACCCCAAGGGAAAGTAAATTTCATGAAAGCTAAACATTATCGTTGTTTTGTGATGTGCCCTCATAAAAATATCAATTACAGACGTAACTGCCAGGCGCTTGGTTTTCTCGTAATTTGTGAACCCAGTGTTACGCCTTAACTATTCGTCCCAGATCAATAATTACTCCATCTCAATCGTTCCAGGGGGTTTGCTCGTGACTGTGAATAGTAAGTAAGATGCCCAATCTTCATGAACAGCGGGGGTCGAGATGGGAAAACCAAGTAAAAACATAAACTTACTGTCGTAGACGACGCGGCACACTCCCTGCACTTCATTCACGATCCTCCTGCTGACCGTCTTTAAAAACTCCCCGTCAAACGGATACCAGTCTGCGGTCATGAAATCCGTGGTCTCCACAGCCCGAAGAGCAATGACTTGGTCATGGACTCGCTGGTCTCCCATTACGCCAACTGCCTTGACCGGCAAAAGGGCTGCAAATGCCTGGCTGATTTTCCGGTACAGCCCGGCTGCTTTGATCTCTTCAATGAAGATGTGGTCGGCCTCCCGGGCAATGCGGACTTGTTCCTGTTGAAGTTTATTAGTCAAAAGATCATCTCCCACCGACAGAATAGTATGAACAAGGACACGTACTGGGGTCACTTCTCCAAGGATCCGAATGGCGATGCCAGGACCGGGGAATGGATGGCGCCAGACAAGCTCCTCTGGAATGCCAAGCTGCTTGCCCAACTCACGGACTTCGTCCTTGAAAAGTTCGCGGAGGGGCTCGATGAGCTTCAAATGCATGCCTTCCAAAAGGCCACCGACATTGTGGTGAGTTTTGATGGTTGCGCTGGGCCCCTTGAACGAAATACTTTCAATGACATCGGGATATAGGGTACCCTGAAGAAGCCATTCGATCTCACCCTCATTGGGTGATCCCTGCGCGGCCGCCGCGATCTTCTTGGCCTCTTCTTGGAAGACTTCGATAAATGTGTTGCCGATGACCTTTCTCTTCTTCTCGGGATCATCCGTAATTCCCTTCAGCTTGCTAAGGAACCTCTCACTGGCATCAACCACAGTGAGATTGACGCCAAGGTGTTTGGTTAGAGTCTCCTTAACGATTGCGGCCTCGTTCAAACGAAGCACACCATTGTCGACGAGAACGGCATGGAATCGATTGCCAATTGCTTTTTGCATCAACTTTGCGGCAACTGTAGAATCGACACCTCCACTGACAGCTCCGATGACTTGGCCTTTCTCCCCGACCAATTTTCTAATGCGGTCGATTTCTTGGCTCACAAATTCGCCCATGGTCCAGTTTTGTGCCGCCTTCGCAATTCCAACGGCGAAGTTTCGAAGAATATCCTTTCCACAAGGTGTGTGCGTAAGCTCTGGATGGAATTGAATGCCGTAAAAGGGTTTTTCCGTGTGCGAGATTCCAGCAAAAGGCGCATTGGCCGTTGTGGCGATGGTGACGAAATTCTCAGGCAACTTAGATAGTTTGTCTCCATGCGACATCCATACCACGAGGTCTCCCTCAAGCCCCTCGAACAATTTATCAATATGCGCCGACTGGCTGGGATGACGTGCCACATTCAGGTTCGCATGTCCGTACTCCCGCTTGTCCCCGGCAGAGACGTTCTTGCCGTGGTTCCACGCGATCATTTGTAAACCGTAGCAGATGCCTAGGACGGGGACTCCTAGGTCGAATACAGCTGCAGGCAGGTAGGCCATGTCAGTTCGTGCTTTGTAGCAACAATTCCTCAACGACAGGGCCACAGGAAAGGGTTACCTGGATCCACATGTGGGGCGTCTGGTGCATAGACGGAGTATGGACTCCCCGACATAATAATACCCTTTGGCTTCCATGACAGATCGGCAATCCTCTGAGTACATGGGAGCATCTCAGAGTAGATGTTAAGCTCGCGAAGTCGCCTCGTTATAAGGTGCGAGTACTGCGAGCCAAAGTCGAGGACCCTGATGGGTTCAGGCGGTTAGCACATCGCTATAACATTTGCGTGCATTGCAGAACTCACAAAATGGTGTCGAAAGCCATATGGGGCTCGGAGACTGGCCCGTCAGCTGGAGTAGCCATTGTAAATATATATACAGCGAGAATTGGGAGTGGTTTTGGCGGGATTGACTCCGAAGAAGAGAAAGGGAAGCAAATTTTTTGTGAAAGTTGGTGAGGGGCGGAAAAATTATATGAGGGGGAATGCTGACTCATGCGATAAGCCTAGGCCCTTAGAGTGCTCAACACAAAGGAATACTGTACGTTCTAGAACAGTAGTATACGGAGTATTTCCCATCCATATGTAGATCAGATATATTCTTCGCCGATTAGAACTTCTCGTAGATTTAATAAATACACATTAAGGGAATACGTGCGCTGTTGTGGTGGATAAACAGAGAATTCCCTGCCAAAAGCTGCTACTTTGTCCGGACAAACATGAGAATGCAACACCAACACCAAATACCACGGAGAAAAATATAAAATTATAGCCCAATGAAAAACACACCCCAACGCCAAAAGCTACTGATAAGTGATATGAGCAAAATGGTATTTCACACAGGACCACCAGGTCGTCGTTGAGGTCAGGCACTGCCGTTCATAAAATCACGAAGCTTCCGTTTCCACTCCTCCAACTCCCGCGAACGATCAGTCCTCGACAGCTCTTCCAGCTGAACTTTGAGTCTGTTGTTCTCCTCCGCAAGCCGGGCATTGGCCTGCCGCTCCATGCACAACTGGTTCTGTAGGCATTTGACCTCGGGCATGTATTTTGCTGCAACCTCCTGCCGAGAGAGGACAACCCGTCCATTCGCAATATTCAATTCTTGTTCCAGTAAACTGACCCGCGCCTGCAGATCCCCCATTCGGGACTGAAGTTCCACCCCCATCTCAAGTTCGCGGTATATCGTCGAAAGCGCATCGTCGACTTCGTTAGAGACGGTTTGGTATCTTGAGCGTCGGGGGGCCGCTCCTCCTGATGCCGAAAGCGCGGAGCAATCCGAGCGCCGGTGGTCCGCAGCGTCTTGTACTGTGGCAGACTGGTAAGGGCCGTGTTGGTAGGGAGCATCTAGTCCACTTTCCTGAGACGTGCATAGGTTCTTCATGCATTCGTCTGCGCTTCTCGACGAAGATACAGCCGTGGTAGAGGTAGTGGTGGCAGACTCGCACGATACCGTGTACCTTTCGCAAGTTGCAGAATAACGGCTCGTGGCACTGGCTGCCGGGCATGAAGGCTTTGGGCTGAACTCGCTTTTCCTCGGTGAAGAGGCGGCGGATAATGGGATGATGTGTGTTGGGGGATTAGTATGCCAGTTTTTCTCAACACAGACCGGGCAATGGAATGGAGACGGCACGTCTGAGTCTCTCCGTGGCGGAACCAGACAAATGGCATGGGATGAACGCATGCATGTTTTGCACCCAAAGAGATTATTTTCCAGTTTGCAGACATAGCAAGTCTTCATGTTCGGGTCTCCCACTGATAAGTATATGTCAGCGCCAAATGCTAACTTTTAAAAGACGTCATGTCAAGGAGTAATAAATGCGCATAACCCGCAGGTACTAACTTCGCCAGTCGCGTGTCCCTAGAGTGTGCTCTGATACCAGCTTCGGGCGTCCATATTTGTCCTTGCCAACCCACATAAGAGTTAAATCAGACGCACTCTTCAAAGCATCGGATCCTTTGCCACGTCCGACGTTCTGTATCTCCGTCTGATCGCAAAACGGATGATTTCTTTGTCTCTTCGAGTCGGGTTGCGGGTTATCCTCATTCCCCCAGTCTCGTTTTCCAGTGCAATACTCTGACGCAGAAGACTCCATCGGTATATATGCAGATGGTGGCGGTATCGGGATGCATTGTGCGCAATTCCAGCATGCGTTGGCATCATTCTACCTGACGCCATATCCCATCCTCCGCCGTCGTATGCGCGCGCAGCATTTCGAGCGTCCGCCTGTCATGGATTAATAATGTAGCGCGCTTGATCTCAGCCATCCATCCGCCGTCCTTCTTAGTCTGTCCTTAACGTTACCTACGCAGCGTAGGTAGGTTAACGTGTAACTAGTTAGTTAAGTTAGTCCCGCTGATTAGCTAACTAACTAACTAGTTAACGTTAGTTAATGTTGGGGGGTCCCGGGAGTTGATCGGCCCTTCTACCAGCAGTGCGCTGGTAGAAGGGCCGACCAACCGCGGGACCCCCAACACCCCCCCTCGGACCAGCTATCACAGAGTACAGTACTTCCCCTCAGTGGCTCCCTTCAGTGGCCTCCCCACAATGGCTCCTTTTTAATAATGGACTGGACCACTCAGTCCTAGGGCTCAAAGGGACTTCTAGGGCACACTCCTGGGATGTCTCTTGGCACTGTTAAAATGTCCAGGGTATTTGTTAGGAATTTTTAAGTCCATTCTGGGATCAAACCCATGCATGTTGACCACAGCGGGGCTCACGCTCAACGGTCTCATAACCTGTAGGCTACTGGGGCAAAAGAGCTCAATCACCACCAGCGCACTGCTGGTAGAAGGGCCGACCAACCGCGGGACCCCCAACACAGTTAACCTAACTAACTAGCTTAACTGACTTACTAATCAACAAGTGGTCGTGGTCATGTGACAGCCGCTAGCCCTAGTTACTTTTTATCAACTTGAGGTTATTTCTTTCAGATAGACGTACCTCCTTCATAGCCTTTGCCCTTTTCTATTCATTTGTGTAACTACTGACAAATCTTCAAATTTGTTTGGCAATGGACGGGCAGACGGGGTGCTTGTATTGTGCTGGGTTTTCCCTGGTTCTTATCAATCTCCCTCAACTGCTTTGACTCGGTAACTGCCTCTGTCGTTATCCTGGCATCCCAGCATTGTATAGGATCTTGCCGGAGACTAAGTCTCTTCAGAGCCATATAGCCGCCAAAAAAGGATAAATTCTTTTTTGGCATAATGTATTTTCCTTTGGATTCCCGTTTGAGCCTCACTTTTTCCAAATTATGTACCGGAAGAATACTCTTCTTACATCAAGGCCTTACAATGTCAGAGCTTGCTGAAACACCAGTCAATACGTTAATAAAAGTGTAGTCAAGGCAGCCTTGACTACACTTGGTTTTACTCTGGTGGGTCAAGCCGGAACGCTATCGTTTCACCTTTTTTGTCCCTATATAAACCACGGCGGAGCGCCTTTATTGGTGGGGGTCTTGTTCTCTGACATCAAGCTTCCTCTTACCTGCTCCCAGCGAAATCTGTATACATATCCATATACATTTACGTGGCCCTCCAATATACCCTCCAGTAAAAGGTAACCAAAAAATGACAGCCCAAAAACGCAGGCGTTCATCAATCGAAAACCTAGAACGAGCCATGAAAAATATAAAATTATCTCCACTGACAACAGGGGACCATGAGATCCCAGCGGCCTACAACTCTAGAGTTGATGATTCCTCTGTTGAGATGCAAAAGGTGCAACGTCTTCCTAACCCAGGCGTCAGCCTTGAAACAGAAGCAGAAATGACAACAACCAATTGCAACCTTTCGGCCGCGGAGGAGTTGGAAAATAATAAAGGTGAAATGGAGGTTTCCGAGCCGACAACACCGCAGTTCGTGATCCCAGAAACTTGCAAAGCTGGAGTTGTTGTTAACCGAGGTGAAAACTACTCCATCGAGATCAAGGACGTGAAAGTTCCTGAGCCAGGTGCGTTGCCCTTTAGTGTAATGTACATGTATCAGGGAAAGGAAACCTGACTTATGCTTACCTGTCTATGTTTTAATCTTCGTAGGAGCGGACGAAGTCTTAGTCAAGATCAAATTGTTCCGTGTCTGCTCCGGCGATATCCATTGCCTGAAGGGGAGGGCTGCCTTGGTCCACAACGCTGACAATGGCGTGGAGTCGGCAGGACACGAAGGTGTCGGTGTGGTGGTAAAGATTGGGTCTCACTTGAAGGGTATCAAACTTGGAGCCCGGGTGGGAATCGGCCTCCTCTGGCGATATAACTACTGGGGTACAAATGATCGGAGTAAACGACGCGAATCTATTCTTCTAACTGGAATAGATGTGCCAGGTAGGTGTCTTCTATTCATTTTCACTTTAATTTTAACAAAGATACCCGGAGATTAACGTTTGTTCTGTATCCACAGGCACATTTCAGCAGTACATAACTCTCCCCGGGAGCTCCATAATCTGGATTCCAGATGGGGTGTCCGACGAAACTGCCGCAGTAAGTAACTCTGTCCTCGCTCGCATTCCACCATAACGTTTACCCATGAAGCTCTGGACTGAAATGATTTAAAGTGCTTAATGTGCTGCGGCGGTCCGATATACGAAGCCTTGCACAGGTCGGGCTACTCCAAAGGAGATTGGGCTTTAATCGCTACCGGCACTATCGCCCAAAAGATCCTGGCCGCCCAAATCGCGAATGCCAAGGGATTAAGACCTATTGTATTCGCTGACCATAGCCAGAAAGACTTGTGTCTCAAAATGGGGGTCAAGTACTTCGTGGCTAAGGGATCAGAACAGAACAACAAAATCTTGGAGCTAATTGGCGTTGACGACCAGTATAAGTCGTATTCCTTGCACGCACATGGCTCAAAGATGGACAATCATCTACGCGGTACCTAAGCGTGGCGGCCCCGTGACTGTCCCAGTTCATCTTTGTAAGTGACCGTCGTTCAAATATGCAGTTTATTAGTGGCTGTTGCTAACAGTGAACCTGTCTGTTGAAGTCGATAACCCATGGAGGCTCGGGGGTTTACCTCGCGACGCAACGTGATGACGACGAACCCCCTCCGTACATGTACAATATGATTTTGGCGACCATATACTATACAAACAAAGTCCTCAGGTTAGTAGCAAAGGTAAGGCCACTTCATCCTGCTTTTTCTCTTTTTATCCTTCCCAGTGTATCAACCAGACAGCTAGCTAACAATACCTCTTTTTTCAAACGCCATAATTTAGAAACTTGTGACCGCCGCGTACAAAAAGCGGCCTTTCGACGAACTACCAAAAGCCATTCGCGATGTGGAATCTCAGCAGGTGCAGGAGTGTGTACTCTTGGATTTTGATATGTGATTCCATTCACCCGCTTAACTAGATTCACGCGAGTCACTTTCAGGCGCTCCTACTTCCCCAGAGTTGATTTTTGGTTACCACGAAAGCCGCCAGGGGGTCCGTATTTCAGTGGCAGTTCAGATCATTTTGAAGTCAGCTCTATTATCTTGACGATATATGCCCTCGGGGATTTCCAGGTTTCAACAGATTCAAACATTTTGTCAAATTGCCTTTCTTTGATGTAAGATTCAAGAATAAGTTGCACAATATAATCTGCTTAATATCAACTTTGCAAATCCATAGGTTAGCTGCAAGCTATGTTAATCAAGTGGAATTCCGTTAATGAAGTGATGTTCTTTATCTCCTCCTTTGGTGTCTAGAACCAATTTTCACCTTTTTCATCGCTATTAAATGGAGCAGCGCATGTTAAATACCGAGTGAGTGCTCCTTAAACATCTTAAATCGAGCTATGAAATCGCTGCATATCGCCTTCAAGTCTACCTACATATACACGTTTAGGCATGAACTCGTGAACACATTAATCATTGGGGAAAAGCCGCATCCACAAGAAGCAAAGGCAGGGACATCAAAGAGAATCTGAATGAACAATATCCAGCAAATAAAATCCGAAACACCACCCCTCCTCCCAAAAAGCCCACAGTGAACCAACCAACAACCAACACCACACAACCAACTAGTTAACACTTATCCACCGGCTCTGGCAACTTCAGCTCATACTCACCGTCACCTTCCGCCACATCGGGTCCGGGATTCGGATACTTGAGCTCGAAATCCGTCTCGGGCGTCTGGCACCCGTTATCTAGATTCGCGAACAGGAAGCTCGGGCGTTCGTTAAAAGACACTGTTTCCGGTCCGGTTGCTGTGCTACTATTGTTGGCGCTGCTGTTGGCGGTAGAATTGCCAGATGCACAACCGCCGCCACATGTGCATACACATTCGCCTGCATCCCGACGGCTGTGCTCGTTACTATTCCCCCAGTCTGAACGCACCGTCGCAACAGCCGGCTGTTCCCCCGCCGCCCCGGTAATCTCCACAGCTGCACAAAGCATATTAAATTCCCGCTCCCGGTTAATCCATGTCCACGCGAACACCTGCACGCCAACAGGCGTATCCCCGGGAACTCTAAAGTCAAACGTCTGCTTCGTCGGGTCCGTCCCGCCATGCCGGTGCGGGCAATTGCCTTCCAAACTCTTCACTACTTTCCACGTCGCGCCCTTGTCGGTGCTGAATCCTACCTGGCATGAGCCGCCGTAGTGGTTCCCTGAGCCTGTGAGACTGAAGTTTTGCACGGATCCCGCTGGCCAGGATGCAACGGGCTGGCCTTGTGGGGTGTCCAAGTGATCGAGATAGCCCTTGCAGGGGAAGGGAGTGCTGCGGCCGCAGCAGTTATAGGGATAGTCGAGGTAGGGGTCCGGTGGAGTGGTTACGTGCGGGTTGTTGGCAGCCCCGAAGGGTGGTGGGTTATATAGTTGCATATGAGCCCGCACAAGAGTGGCTAGGCCGATGATGCGGAAGGTGATGATCGATGAGAGCATCCTCCCGCTCGATCTATTGTTTGACTTGGCTGTCTATGCCTTGAAGCTTGTTTTTGAGAGAAAATGCAAGGCAGTGAGTGGTAACAAAAAAGGGCTTTGTATGTATCGCGTTAGAGATGCGGTGTTATGGCTTTACTTCAGAGAGCTGAGGCTGCAGAAGGCTAACGTAGATGAGGTGTTTTGGAAAACGGATAAAGTATGAACATACAAAGAGGATCGATCTCTGAAGAACCTTGGAAAATGAAGACAGAAGTTTCAGTTTAATATTTCTTTTGTTTATTCACCAGAAGGCCAATAAACAATAGAGTCTCGACAAAGTGAATGAAACAGTTACCCCTGAAACTCCGGCCTGAATGTCAATAGAAGCAGCACCTTGAAACACGCGACATATATGCAGAAAAATACATTAACAATGTATGTATATATCTTAATATCATATGTAGTTTCATCAACACTTGCTCATTAGTGAATGTATAAATGATCAAATGTTAGATGTGGGGAAATAAATATCAGCAGCATTCTCAGCGCGCGCTGTCTATATATATATATATATATATATAAACTAACATACCATCTACCTATCGATTTTCCATGCTTATCTTCCTCCGAAATCGGGCTTGTAGGTCTTGACGCCGCCATCTTTCATCAACTCGCGTAGAGCCATGGTCGCATACTGGCTAGATCCCAACTGTAATTTTATAATCACTGCCAATTTATCAGCAGCCTCTTTGTCTGCTGGTCCTGCAATCTCTTCGTGGCCATTCCAAGACTCCTTAAGCCGATCAAGATCCGTCTGTACAAACTGCTCATCATCCTTCGTATACGCCTTCACCTCGAACGAATACGCCTCACCAGGTTTGCTAAGCAGCTTCCGATACCCACCGCTCAAACTGATATCCTTCCAGCTCCTTCGCATATCGAAGGGGTCTAGCTTACCGCCCCGCTCACTACCCATGAACTGCTTGTAGAAGGTTGTCATCTCGTTGTCCGGATACAAGATGTCAAAGCCCGGCAGCGGCAAGACGATGTCGAAAATGGTATATCTCCCACTAGCAGCCTCTTCCGCAGTCAAGGCCCGCGCACGCTCGAACATCTCGTCGGCCGCGTTGGCACCATCGCCCGCGTCAGGTAGCACGACCACGTCACCATCTGCATCAAATTCTTCAACTACAGCAGCTGCACCCACCCCGTCTTTTTCTTTGAAGTCGTTGATGAGCACGAGGTCGCCGGCGACTACCTTATCGCCGTACAACCGCCAGCGATGGCTCGCCGCAAAATTCCACACAAGTGATTGGTATGCGTGAACGTACATAAGACGGAGGCCGCGCGGGATGGTTCCCAGCGCACCAAAATAGTCATTTTTATTACGGCCCAGGTGTCTGATGATATTAGACTCGGCGGAAAATTTGCGAGGGAGCTTATCAAGTGCTGGGTTGGATTTCCCGGTTGTCTGAAAGATGTGAATCCCCTCTGCGCGCGCGATGTCGTCGGCGCTGATGAGCGTTTTCGACCCCTGTGCATTGGCTTGTGTCTGGGACTGTGACGCTGCGAGGGCCTGTGGATTAAAATGTAATATGCACTCGCAGGCACCCTTGAAGTCACCCTGCAGCATCTTCAGTCCCACAGTATCAGTCCGGGTGGAGAAAGTCCCAAAACGCTGCAGGCCGTAGTAGTTGAAGTAACCCCGTTCCCGAAGGTCTCGAAGAGACTGGGATACAATCTTAGTAGCCTTTGAAACTGCATTGGGCAACCCCTCTTCTTTCAGGTCAAAGGGAAATTGACAGTCGCGAAGAGTGATTATAAATTCGTTCCCGTTCAAGTCGCCAAGTTCAAGGCGATTTGTGCGGTACTCGAAGTCACCAACGGCTGCGTTCCGCAGCGATTTGCCAACGTTCAGCAATCGGTCCGCATATATGCGATAGGCACTGGCACGCTGGACGGTTACCCCACGTCTATCCTTGGTCCCAGCAAATCCGAACTGCTTTGCATTCATTTTCATCTGACGAGCTAGAAACGTCACGACTTCCATGGTATCCTTGTTCTCCTTGTAGATAGTGAAATGCAAGTGCTCCCCGCCTAACTCGCTCCAACCCAATTTCCCCCGGAGGGGATCCCTTCCACCCCTACCGCCACGCGACTGGACACCCTTGCGCGATACGGGAATCGCAGTTATTACCATGGCGCCATCGTTGTCCGTAGTCGATTCTAGGCGAGAGGCGAATATGCGACGGATAGCTTGGTGTATTTTTGTACGGAGGTCCTTGTCTGTAATTACATCCGACTTTACACGGCCAATATCACTTGCTTTGGCCGTGGGTTGGGAGAGAGCGCGACTGTGTAAGAGAATGATTTGCTGAGCGGTTTCGGTGCCGAAATATTCTTCAAGGAGTTTCCTGTCCTCATCCGATAGCTAGAGAGTAGGAATGTTAAATATTTTGCGATAACAGGAACTTTAATTTGAATTTACATATCCTCACCTCAAATGTGGGTTTCTCCGGAGCAGTTGCCTCTGGAGCGCCTGTTCCCACAGTCTCTTTCTTGCCATCCTCTGTTCCTCTAGCAGCTTCTTTGTTCTGAGTGTTTTCAGATGCAGCGGTGGTGGGTTTTGGAGGCTCTGAACTAGCAGTGGCAGTTTTGAAAGACTGGGGCAGATCGAGATTTTCTAAGTGCAGAACCTTGCCTGATGGGAGAATTTCATTGACCAGGAAGTCAGTATACCTGCAAATTAACAAGACGAACCAATTAGCGCTCCTCATGTAAGAGTTGATTACAAGTTTTTGTTGCAGAGGGAATTCGAAATTGAAGGTATACCTTTTCTTCAATATGCCCGAAAAACCAGGGAGATGCGGGCTGACAAAATCGGTGATGCCGACCTCCGCCTCTTTCAGCGCCTGGACATCCTTACTGTCCAATGCGGCGGGAGACTGCAATGCAGAAACAGGGGCAATTGGAGAATTGGAATCCGCATCGTTTGAGATTTTCACGCGTTTGCGGGGGAATTCTTCTTCGTCTGGGATTTCTCGACCCATGACTACGCGTGCGACTGCCGCAGATCGCAACCGCTGGCTGTTGTGGGAGGAGAAGGATTGAGAGCTGCGTGATAGAAGGAATATATACGGAATTCGCGTGCTAGTCTGTATAGTAGCTAAATGGAACCTCGATGAGGCCAAAATGCGGGGGAAGTTGTTCATCAACGAGGGGTTCAATAATGATGTTGAGTGACCGAAGTCGAGTTTTTGCGGCGGGAAATATATCTCTGATGCCAAGACATCCAAATTGCCGTTTTGAGAAATCTACTTCAAGATGTCTATTATATATACATACATAACTACATATATCTACATACTCTGTGTATATCTAGGTTTTACACAGCGGGGCACGCAATGTCGATATAATATCATCTGCTTCAAGGGCTATTCTCTTGTTCTTTTCTTTCTCCTTCTCCTCCTCCTTCTTCCGCTCCACCTCCGTCGCCCTTTCAAACCAGCTCTCCTCAGCGCTCAGTCCCCGCGGCTCCCATAGCATCATGGCCACCCATTCGCTTCCCATGAACTCCACCTTTCCCAGGTCGCGGAATCCTAGTTTCTTATATAGGCCTCTCCCCATGAGACTAGGCTCTAGCCCCACGGGTACATTCTCCGCCTTCCCGTGCTCAATCCCCCACTGCACCAGCATCTTCCCAACCCCCCTCCGTTGATAGCTGGGGTGAATTGCGAGAATGCCCACGTACCAAAGTTCCGGGAAAATGTCTGACGGAAAGTTGCCGGCCGTTACTGAAACGTAAGTCTGCATCCTGGAATTATCGATTGCTCTGTTTTGGTTGAAGATGTCGGCGTATCGTAGCTGTATGTTCAGCAGGCGTCTCTCTAACCCTGTGGATTGGCATGTTTAGAACAATGCCGTGGTGAGTGAGATGGAGCATATGCGCATGCATGTATATGGAAGAGTATTTACGAACACCACCCGCGACTTTCTTTTTCCTCCTTCCATCTCCTGGCAGCTGGAGAGTCACCGACGCGTTTCCAGGCGCAGTAGCCCACAACTTTCCCTCCTCGTCCACTGCCCTGGCAATGCGCCTGACCCTGTTCTGTCCCTATCTCATCTTCGGGGTCGGTGGCAGCCACATACAGGACCCATCCAGGCGACGAGAACCGTATCCTCGTTCGTAGCAGGAAATTAGCCCGGTATTCGGAATAGTACTTCACCCGGTTTGGAGCGAGATAGGCCCAGACTTCATCATGAAGCATCGCATCGGCCACAATTGTAGCGACATCCGGGATGTCCGCTGCTTCGAGTGGGCGTATATGCATTTCTTTGTTCGCTGCGCGGCCTGGAGGATTCGAACAGTTTGTTCATGTTCGTGATGGATTTGACTTCATGAGGAGCGCTCTGTAGATCATCCTTCAACGGCTGAGCTAGGCTAGAGGGATGAGTCCTCCGCCCTTTACTCGCAGGGTAAATAAAATACGAAGCGAACCCTTGGATCTGGGGTGCATTGCTAATGGACCAGCATCAGGCATCAGCGATTCTCATATGGGTTTTGCTGAAGAATCCCACCACACTTCCTGTCGCGACACCATTTACTGTGGATAATGGATTTCTGAACATATATCTGGTCCCAAGACCGGTGATATAAGTCACACCTGCCCGTATCGTTACGGACGAAAGAAATGCTGGACCTCGGCAGGATTGGATTTCCCACGCTGTTGAGAAAGCCAGCGAACTAATTCGCGAGAAAGCTAAAAAAGCCTCAATCAAGCGATTCAATTGTTCGGTTATTTCTATTTCCAACTCCACACATCAAACGAATCCGCCGGCCCGGGACCAATTGTCCCATTGACCGTTTCACGCGCCAAACCTCCGCCAAACCTTCTCTAAGAGCAGAAGGTCTATGCTGCGATTCACGAGAGTCTGTTGGTAACGCCACCAGCCACGGGCCTCTGCCGCTCATTATTCATATGACCTGACGTCTCCAAGTCTTCACCATGTTGTCAATAATGTCGAATCATGACGGGCGCCCGTCACGCTGACGCTTCGGCCCCACGCCCACCCTAACTCGCCAAACTTTTCTCCTTTCATGGTAGACACTCCGGAGCTGCCAAGCGGTTTGCCGAATGACACGCAACCCAAGAACTGGAAAAGCCTAGCGATGAAGATCATGCTGTTTAAGCTAATGAGAGGTTCTCTTTGCCGAAATCCGTTCCTTCAAGAATCAAAGCTCCAACTGGCTGCTAGCCGGCGGGCGGGTGGGTAGGGAGGTTGTTCGGCATTTCCTGAGCATCGACTGGACCCTCTAGTCCTAGTGTCAGCTTGAACCCTCATTCTGGTCAGACGTTCAACCACATGGCCGACAAGGCGTTTTCTACACGATTCCTTTTGGCTGTGTTCGTCTACGGACGTATCTCACTGGGCTCGTTGGATTCGGTCTGTCCAATCCTTCCGTTTCACATTTTGCTTCTAGCCAGCAAGGTGGGCGAGCCGTGCTTTGCTAGCTACAGCAATTGAAGCGGACTTTGCAAAATGGGGTAGTTAAATATAAAACTTCAAGAGAGCCGGTGCCTCTTGAATTCCTTTCTTGCTCAGTCAGGGAAATTGTTGATTTTAATTGCTGCTGTTTTTTTTCTTTCCAATAACTATCTCTGTCGAACATCGTTTAACGTAACTCGGAGATTTTGCTTTTGTTCTAGTTGCTCTCGCTCAGCGTTAAAGAATCTTCATAAAATTCTGCATCCTATTCAATTATACAGTTCACCACTTTGAAGCACCGTCTTATGACGAGTTCCCTGCGACAGGTAGTTTCTTCTAGAAAGCGCCTCACTCAGATTACTACCGCTCATACCATGGGCGCCGTGGATACTTCAACCAAGTCATCCAATGACTGGCCCAACCATCAGGGCGTATGTATTTTACTCTCAAAACTCCCCGTCCCCGGTCCACTATCAAGGCTGAGCGTTTGTGGGAGTTAGTTAGTATTTGTGTCTATCACTAACTGAAAGTAGTTCAACTCTACATACGAAGAAAGAACCCCGGTTGAGCTCAAGGTCACTGGAGACATACCTGCATGGGCAGCGGGAGTTCTATACCGCACCGGCACAGGACGCAGTGAAATAGAAACGGACCAAAGGCAAACCTTTAAGGTAGCCCACTGGTTCGATGGACTGGCTGTGGTCCATAGATTCCAAATTCTGCCACCAGATGCAACGCATCCTTCGGTCCGCGTTTTCTATAACTCCAGAAGCTGCTGCGACGGATTGATCGAGAGGATTAGGAAGACCGGCAAAGGCAATGAGATGTCATTCGCCGCTAAATATGACCCCTGCACCAGCTATTTCCAGAAGGCTATGTCTCTGTTTCGACCTGCGCCGCCAAAGACACCTGGAGCAGATCAGCAATCCATGTCCATTACCCTATCGGTCAATTTCCCTGGCCTCGGCAGCAGCACGACTACACAGAAGACCTCTGGACATGCCTCTGGCATACACACATTAACCAACAAGACAGACGCCGCGGTCTTTCAAACCCTAGACCCTGAAACTCTAGAACCCATCGGCTTAGCCTCACAGCAAGTCCTTCACCCCGCCTTAAAAGGCCCCATATCCGCCGCCCACGCCAAGTCAGACCCGGCCACAGGCGATGTCTACAATTTCAACCTGGAACTGGGCAAGTGCCCAATCTATCGCATCTTCCACGTCTCAGCCGCCACGGGCAAAACCTCCGTCCTGGCAACTCTCACCAATGCACGCGCCGCGTACCTGCATTCCCTCTTCCTCACAGAACACTACGTTATTCTCTGCGTCTGGAACTCCTACTTTACCGCAGGTGGCCTGGCAATTCTCTGGCACAAGAACATTGTCGACGCCATTGCCGACTACGACCCCTCCAAGAAATCCACTTGGTATGTCATCGACCGCCGCCCTACCGATCAGGGTGGCAGGGGCCTCGTAGCTACCTATAAAAGCGACCCATTCTTCTGCTTCCACACGGTCAACGCGTACGAGGAGCCGTCGCCTGATGGCAGTGGGGACATCGACATCGTCGCAGACCTAACCACTTACAACAACCTCGACATAATCAAACGCTTCTACCTCTCAAACATCGTCTCCACTTCCCCCAACGCCGCCAAATACGCAGCAGGAATAGACCCGGCCTCCCGCGCCATCTACAAACGGTTCCGCCTCCCATCAGTCCCAGTGCCGTCACCATCCTCATCAACGCCTACGCCATCAAAAGCATCCAAACCCAAGCGCGCCATCCTAGACTTCAAAAACGAGGCTGCTAACACCCCCGAACTCCCCACCCTAAACCCACACTACGTCACGCGCCGTCATCGCTACGTCTACGGTGTCACGGACTCGGGCAAATCGAGCTTCCTCGACGGCCTTGTCAAGGTCGACACGGAGACCAAGCAAACCATCCATTGGAAAGAATGGGGCCAGAACCCGGGCGAGCCGATATTCGTGCCGAGACGGATAATTCCAAGACAGGAGGGCGAAAGCGGGAGTGAAAATGACAGTGAAGACGCGGTAGGGGAAGTGGAAAAGGAAGTGGATGCTGACGTGTTTGATGAGGATGACGGCGTGCTGTTGTCCGTCGTATTGGATGGGCTGAAGGGGAAGTCGTATTTGCTTGTTCTTGACGCGAAGAATTTGAAGGAGGTTGGCAGAGCGGAGGTTGCTGGGCCCATTGGGTTCGGGTTTCATGGCACGCATGTTTCGGCGATGAGCGGAGGGAGGGGGTTGGATTATTAGGAGTGATGGTTGCTTTTGCTACATATTTTCATCCCCTACGAATTCCGCCTTTCTTTCAGAGGCCAAGCGGTTGAATTGGAGGGGCTTCTTTTCGACTTTGTCTGAGCTTAGGGTTTCATCCCTTTTCTTATTTTTATTTTTTTTTTATTTTTTTATTTTATTTTTTTCCCGCAAATTGGTCACTCCTCTCCACTAACGATACATGTCACGTATTCCTATTTAATAATAACGTATGATACCAGGAATGCCTTTATCAGAGCTGAAGACTTTCAGTTCACTACTAACTAGGTTATCAACGATATATTCATTATGCTATGTAACTTAATATCAACACTCAAAGCGTGCTCTTTTGCCTCCTTCTTTCATTTTCCATTCTGGAAATTTCGTTGTTAACTGAGTTATACGGGCGAGGCTGGATATTTCGCGGATGAGAGAATTCAGACACAGTACAGAGTGCTTGTGAGACATCCTCTAATATTGGTCTTCTAGGGCTTTAAGATGCGGTCGTAGCTACCCAAGGGAGAATCGCTAAGTAGCGATTTTCGACCAGCTATCTATCTACTGCAAAATGTCCAATCACTTAACATGTATGAAAAATCTAACCAGTAGACCTGCACTTGTCGCCTCACAGTGGTGCAATTTACCCTACATCCAGGCTCCCAATTCTAGTTCTTGCTGATATACATTCCATCAAACCTTCTTGGTGCCCAAATTCAATAGAGGTGGCTGAATAGCAAGGCCGTAAGTAGACGCTGGTGCGAGGTCCCCATATCCTCAGCCAGTTACGGAGATTTCGGGGTGTTATGGTAAATATCCCGGGCATGGCGAACGAAGATTCAGACAGGTCAAGACAATCTATGGTCATCACTCACCCGACCCTCCCTCCCGCCCTGGCCCTCGCCCTCGCCCTCGGTTTCTTCATCGCACCACTCTTCGAAGCAGCCTCCACCTCCACCTCCCGCTTCCCCTCCCAAAGCTCCCTAACCCTTCTCACAGCGCCCCACACCCTCTCCCGCGCCTCCTCCCTCTCCACCCCATCCCGCAACAACCTCTCATACTCCGTATGCACATGCCGAATATGCGCATCAACCGCCAAGCCAACCTTAACCTCCTCGCTGGCCACCTTCCCACTCCTCCCCACGCGCCGCGAGCCCTTCAGAAACGCGTGGCCCAGCACCGTCTCCAGCGTCTCGGCGGGCATGGCGGGGAATTGGGCGCGGAGCAGTGCGCGGGCTTTCGAGGTGTCGCGTGCGTCCTTTTGGGCGACGGCGCGGGCGCGAGCGGGGAGGGTGTTGGCGGCGGCTTTGGTTACGGTGTCGTGGATTTGAGAGGGGATGTAGAGGCCGAGGGTGCGCTGGGTTTTTGGGTTCTAGGATATAGTTTAGTGTCAGGGGCAAGAGTAGGGGTCTTTTTATTTTTATTTATTTTTATATTTATTTTTTCTTGACTTAGTAGGGGGGTGATACTTACATAGACTGTATACACGGTCTGTTTTGCCTCGTGGGAGAGGCTGCGGCAGTTGCGTGTGATGTAGACGTCTCCCTTCGGGACAAAGACGTAGTCAGGCGGGGGCCCTTCAGATTCTGTGCGGATCTGGATATCAATGGGGATCATCAATCAGAAATATCAGATCAGCATTCGAGGTCCTCTCACTACATTTGTCATCAGGTTCACGTACAGCTTCCAACGACGAATCCCCAAGCTTTTCTTTGGCAGCATTCTGCTTCTCTAGCGCTCTGCGCAGCTCCCGGGGTAGACGGGTCCCAGTTCCTCCTCCAGCTAAGTCAGAATTGGAGACGCGCTGTTTCTTTCTAGCCAGTTTCGATGCGGCGGTACTGTTTCCAGGGTTTCGTCTCTGGGGTCGTGATGAAGGACGTTTCCTCTTACCCCGCGTCGTCTCTGAGGCCATGATGGGGAGTTTGTTTTGTGAATGTAATGTCCTGTGCTTGTGTTTCGGCGTCCACCATAGCAGAGGCAAGTGTGGTTATCGGATGGAAAGGGTAGAATACTGGGCCATTGGCTGCTAGATTTGTACGTATCATGGCATTTTTGGCGAAGGATGTGAATGTGTAAGACATTCGCACACCAAGTCTATTTCATTCTTCGTACTTCGCTGGCTCTGTGTTGTTGTCCTATCTGCCAATCAGTAACTAATAATAATCTGTCGTGAAGATGCGAAATGGCATCTCAAGGCTGGCGCTTATGTTCACTAAATTTAGGCGGGCGGCTAGTTAAGCCAAAACGCCGCCAAGAACTTAAACCGTCATTGAGTCAGTCTAATCTTTATTTTATTTTGCAAAATGGATTCTGAAGATCTTAATTCGATATATTTTCAGTCTTTTGATCTTCTTCTTGTATCATTTTTACTTTCCTTCCTTATTAGTTTTCTAAATTAACCCAACAGCCAAATCCCCGAGAGGATCTCTCCCCGCAGTGGAGTTTGAGATTCATCTCATCTACCAAAAGCCAAAAAAAAAAAAGGGGAGGGATACGTTATCGTTCCTTAATACGTGCAGGGAAATGAGCTTCACAGCCTTTCTTGGGAATGTCCATTTCATAACCTTAGTAGACTATATGGTTTTCTCACTGAAAACGGTCTCGGAGATGAGAGCTTACAGCTGAGGTTCAAGGGCTTGAGTTGGCCAAGCAAATAAATGTGTTGCACACCACGCACTGTAAATTTTAATTTTTTTTTTTTTACCTTTTTCAGACTCATCTTATTCGGTGGATACATGACCTTGAAAGTGCTTTTATCCCTTTTTATCCCTTTATCTTAACTTAAATCGTTCCAATTAACTCTGGATGTAAGCTTGCATGAGGAAGTTGCACAACACAACACACCACACCACCACTGTTCAAACTTCCAATGTTCTTATTTTTTTTTATTTTTTATTTTTTATTTTTTTTCCTACGTAAATTCTGTTTTTCGGGGGCACTGAAAAGGGATTTCACTCACCACCAATAATGAAGAACATGAGATTTTATTTCGTCAAGATACGATACTACTAATCATCAGAATTAAAGATCAGGAATTGTTTTGCTTTTTCCTGATCGGGAACCAATGACCAAAGTAGCCTAGTTGCAGTGTGTGTGTGGTGTGTGTGCAGTAGTTATGAATGCTGACATATGATTGGTGTCGATCACTTTGGCCTGTGTGCTAGCGGCCACGTAGCTTCATTTGGTAAGCATGACACAAAGGTCAGTCAGATAACTAAGTTAACTACTTAACTATATTGTTTATTGTTTATTTCTGGATGGATGAATGTATGTATGTCTGTATGTCTGTGTTCTCTGTTCTCTGTATTCTTGCGGGTGGAAAGGGGGAAAGGGGGAAAGGGGGAAAGGGGGAAGGGCGAAGGGGGGGGAAACTACTACAAACCACTTCTCTCTTGTCTCTTCTCTCCGGGTCGATCAATGAATCAATGAGAGAGAAGACCTGATCTGATCCCCGGGTTCGATTTAGTCCCTCGCCCCTCTTACCCTATATATTGTACTGATGATATAACTACTGGTTGGTAGTCTTGTTCCTCTATCCAGCTCCCTCTGAGGCCGATGGAAGGAGTATAATGTGGCAAGCTTCGGCGAGGTACGAGGGGGGTTAACTAATAACTATGATTAATAAACCAAACAAAGATAAGTTAACTAGCTAGCGGGTAGTTAACTAGTTGAGTTGTGTCTTGGCTGCTGTATATACAGTATTCTGACTGAAAATAACAGAACTACTGCGTATACAGCTGGAGTTAGCTTGGATGTAAGGGAAAAAATAGAGCTTTGAAGATTGCCACCTACCTATAGTTATCTATTCACCCATGAACAGAAAATCTCGGTTTCTTCGAAACGAACTCAGACATCCCGTGCCTAGTTACGGCTGGTTGACTAAGTCACTCCTGGTGGGCAGAGCCTGGGCTGGGCCACCTCTGCACTTGCAACGTCCAATTTATCCCCGGGGCTCGAACGCAGCGAGAGAAAGGGCTGAGATGCTCCAAGGCTCCAGGATCCAAGATCCCAGCCCATAATGGCAAGTCCTTTGCCCGTCTTCATGGCATTTGCGGCGGGGGTATACAAGGGGGCGGGGGATACATGGTGTACACTGCGTACATCTGCGTACATCATACAGGGGATTGCTTCTTTTCTTTCTTTTCTTTCTTTCTTTTTTTCTTTCTTTCTTTCTTTTTTCTTTTTTCTTTTTTTTTTTTCTTTTTTCTTTTTTTGGCTTTTGGTAGATAAGATCGGGGTCGGGTGTTTTTGTTTCAGCCTCAGGAACAGACCGGAAGCGAAATCAGAGAGCTCTTCTTCTTTATATACATGACATATATATATATATATATAATAATATATATATATATATATATATATAATATAGTCTTATATCGCGGGGTATTCTCAGGCTGATAAATCCTCCCAATCCATCTTCTTTAACCCCCCTCCCCTTCCCCCCTACCCCCTTTCTCTTCTTCTTTTATTTGATCTTCCTGTGTATAACTGATGGCGGTGCCTGCAGACAGCAGACAGAGACTGCAGCCTGTGGCGTCTTCCGTGTTCCCTGTTTTTCCAGGGTCTTTTTATTTTTTCATTTATGATTACAATTCCCACCCCCCCCGGATTATATGATTACATTCCCACATCCTGTTTCCCCCTCGGGTTTTTTGGTAGCTAACTAACTAATAAACTAAATAGTTTATGTCTAACTGGTTCTCCGTGGTTAACTAGTTAATGCTTAACATGAGCGTGCTAATTAGTAACTAAGTAAGATCCAAAGGATTTTCAAGATTTGATCCTGTCGAATACTCATCTCATGTAGAAGATCCATGATTAACCACTGTGAAGCATCGCAATAATAATAATAATCATAATAATAATATAAGCCAGTCAATGTTAGTTGTAGGTAGGGTAGGTAGAGAGAATTGGGTTGGAGTTTAATAAATAACTCTAACATTATTCTTAATAACTAAGTTAATCCGGTCATAATTTTCCCTCGGTTTTTTTTCTCCCTCTGTCCGTCCCGCGATGGTCCGAATAGGAAATATCCAAATAATAAAGAAAAGGTTAAAAATATATTATAAGTAAAAAAGTAAAAAAATGCAGAAGAAGAAATAGAATGGGATTATATTATATTATATTATATTTTTATTATATTTTTATTATATTATTTCATTATATTAGATTATATTTTTATTATATTTTTATTTTATTCTTTTAAGCATGATTTACATCTGGAGAAACACCAAAAGAAAAAGGAAAAATACTGTAACTACTGTAGTACATACATTGGTCAATCAGATAGATGCATTGTTACCTACCCCCCCCTCTGTTATAGTTATATTAAAACTAGAGTTAAGTTATTTAAACAGAGTTAAATGTATCCATCCAGCCTTTTCCTGTTCCTGTTCCTTTTCCTGTTCCGGTTCCGGTTCCTGTTCCAGTTCCGGTTCCCTGTTCCAGTTCTGCTGCTGTTCTGGTTCTGTTCCTGAGTGAGTTGTGTGGTCTTTTTTCCTCTTTCCCTATATTTAAATATTAAGTTAACTATTTATTAAGTTAGTTATTTATTATAGTTAACGTTAATAAGTTTAAATACAGCAAACCTCTTTTCATCCAACTTCATTTCTCAACCTCAACCTCAACCTCAACTTCAACTTCAACTTCAACTTCAACTTCACTCTTTCTCTTCTCCCAACCAACTCCACCACTCCACTCCCACCAACTGTCGAGAATAACTTCCTCTGCTCTGCTGCCTTGTTCAATTCCATGAGGGGACGCGCTCTGATCTCTCCTACCCTACCTACATTTCTCTCTTTCATCTCTGCGCCACCTCTCCTCCGCTCCGTACAGCATCCTCTCTCCCGCCGTCTGCTTATTTAGCTCCCCGTTCTGGGCCCTGCTGCCTGCTCGAAAAACCTCCGATTCTGCTTCACCACTAGAGAGAGCTCCTTGCTTTGCTCTTATTTAGACCGCTTCAACTCCATCCCACGCCTAGCTGAAAACAAACATCTTTCCCTTCCCCCGTCTCTGCCCAGTTTCGACCCTGCCCAGTTTCGACCCGGGGTTTATAACCTCTACGACATTCCCCTCGAAACATAAATCATAAATATTTCCATATATAATCCCGTTGATTTAAAATCCCTCCTCCTCCCACCCACCCCCCACCCGACAGCTGCATCCAGATCTTCAACAGACTCACTCGCTCACACCGCTTTGGGGGGAATCTTTGCTGGCTGGGTGGCTCGTCAACTCCCATGTTTGCTCCTACAAACATTCCGCTGATATGAGCTGGGACCGCCCGATCCATAGGTCAGTCTCGTCTCTTTTTCTTTTTCTTTTTCGTTCTTTCTGTTCTATTTTGGCAGCCATTGAATGGCCGGATAAATAAATAAAATAAAGAAAAAAAAAATGTTGGCTTGCTCGCTGCTTTATCGCTCGCCAATTGTCCGCCCAATAAGGCTTGCAAGACTACTCTACTCTGTACCTAGCTAATAATAATATATCTTGTAACCTTAAAAATTGCAATTTATGCTGACACTTGCTTGGGCACCTGTACATGTACACGGACGACAGTTTCAACTACTCCAATGGCGACCCTCAGACCCCAAAAAGAACCCCGACGTCTGCTGCCTTTGGCGAGTCGGCCTTCCAAACCCCAAAGCTAGAATCCAGCTTCTACGACCCTCGAGTCACCTGGAACACCGCAGATCCTTATGCTTCCAGCCCTGAATTTCTCAAAACCCCCCAGCGACTTGGACTGTCCACCCCCTCCAATCACAACTATCTTCATGGCTTAGCTGATCGGGATTCAACCCTCCTCGACCCCTCGGCCTCGTTTGCTCTGAACCTCTCCCCGCAACTGGAACGGACTTCTCTTTCTGGAACTGTTAGAGGTAGTAAAACGCACGGGTGTACGAAACAGGGCAGCAGCTGCAGATCTGGGAAGAAAGCAGCGGAAGATCAAGGAAATGATGGTGATCAGGACACAATTGACTCCGCAAAACGCTCAGCAGCCTCGATGCAAACCCCTCCCCCGACGAGCACAGGCAGGAGAAAGATGCAGGACAGAAACAACATCAACCCCGGGAATACACATCCAGAGCTGAGGGCCAATGCTAATAATGATAATACAATGGGTCCTCCTGATTCTAGTCACCTGGAGACTCCAAGCCGCGTCGTTGGAATCTCTGCTAATTTGTTTGACGGCCAATCTCCGAACCTGTTCCAGATGGCTGCAGGCTCTTCTGCAGACTCACCTTTCTTTCCGCAAAACAGGCTCTTATGGGACCAGGACACGCAGTTTCCGGCTGACTCGCTAGATATATCGAACAATTTTGGAGACCCATTTGGACCGAACCAAACAACGAACAACTTTAATGATACCTTTGATCAGGGTCAATTGCAAAGTGATTCTCTCCAGGTTCCTCAATTCCATACCATGCAAGCACCGTCCGGGTTAGGACATTTCAGCGATCCTCACGCTTTTCATACACACTCAATGGAGCATATAGACTCTAACCTTTATCCTACCTCTTTCTCGACATCCCCCCGTCTCCCCACTGTACGAGATGAGGACCCCGCCATGTTCTTGAGCTCTCCTGCACGGAGATTTGGGTTTTCAGAGCCGACATTACCGCAAGATATGCAGCCCCGACTTGAAACTCGCCAACCCTATCATCATCAGACCGAAGAGTCCAAGCGCGAGAAAAGACTAAAAGAATTGAAACGTGCTAAGAGTCTAGCTCGCCGTAAAGCCGAAGCCCCTGATGAAGCTGCGGATGCCCTACGTCAGTCACGATCTTCGCAACTACTTTCTAGGCGGAACTCAAGTCATTCTACCCAGCCGCATAGCCGTCATGCAAGCGCACATTCGTCCTCTGGCCCTGGCGCTTCTGGTAGTGGTGTAAGAAAGACCCCTGCCAAAGGGCGTCTGTCACCGTTGAAAACACAGACGCCCTCCTTTCATTGCCCGAGTTCGTCGGCTGCCTTACACGCCCCTGTTGAGTCAGTGGTTTTAAAAATCGGGAAAGATGGACGAGCTAAAACTGAAATGGCAGTAGTACCTGAGCCGCCAACGTCCTTTAATGCTCGCCGGCCAGGGATGGATGTGGATGAGTTGTCCACCGAGAGTGAGACTGAGTCCTCAGATGAATCCGATTTTCCAGTTTCTCACAGTACGAACCCTTCTTTTAATATACACCCTGAATCAACTCCACGGCAGCGCGACGTTTTGCGTGCCCATTCCACCTCGCGCCCACAATCTAAGAGCTCTTCCTATTCATCAACCATTGCATCTCCACACTCAGGACGACATTCTCCGTGGACAAGTTCTTCCCGTGGAAGTGGGAGGCTACCGCAATATCCCACCCAGAAAGACGGCTGGATGTCGGACGACGATACAGGCGACGCACAACATGCACTGAAGCAAGTGTTGAAGGGACGGAATAGACAACAGGCTAGGCAGCCCGCACCCCTCTATAACCAAAAGACACGCTCCTCGCATGCTCTGAGAACATTACGATCATCCCCGCCAGAGTTCCGTAGTCAATTCGATTCCCGCCGCAGAGAGATCAGCTCGCCGACGACAATGACGGATCCTGATTTTGCAACGCCTACCACCGAGCGCCAAAGCAATCCTAGCAATGGGACTAGATGTGTTTGTAACTCGATGGATAATGGCGGGCATCTGATGATTCAGTGGTATGTTTACTGTCTTCCTCCATATAATACTTCCTCCTTTTTTTTTTTTTTTTTTTTTTTTTTTTTTTTTTTTTTTTTTTTTTTTTAAAACTAACCTCCTCACCAGCGAATCCTGCACCCATTGGCTCCATACCAAATGCGTCGGCTTGGACCGCCAAAGTCTTCCGCCTGTCTACATATGTATATATTGCACACAGACCCCGATGCGAGGGGGCCGGATTCGGGACCCCTTAGCAGGCGGCGCCGGCGGCCACATCCCAACATCCCCCTTAGCTCATAAATCATACCGGTTCCGGTAGCCGGTCTCATCCTCACGTTAACTCTCTCTCTTACCCTCCTGTCTATCTATTCCCTTTGTGATACACGGTTATATATTATTTTGTCACTCGATTGCCGGATGCGTGTATTACCTGTCCAGCTGTTTGACTTGATTAGTACATGGAGCCACGTTATTGCTATTGTTTTTCTCTTTTAACTGTTATCTTCCTTTTTAAACCATGCCGGTCAGCGATGACCCCCTCATACTCTTTTTAGCCCGTTTAACGCAACCAGTTCCCGCTGGAAGACCGAGAGAATCGTATTTCCTTTTTAATTACACATTTTATTTATTATTCCTTTTAAATCGCTTTTTTTTTTTTTTTTTCGTTTCTTCTCTGTTTCCGTTTTAAAACCTTATCCTCTTCCCCCACATAATTACAATTACAATTTTCCAATACCCCGCTTCGCAATTCTCTTCTTTTTTCCTTTTATTTTCCCTTTCCTTTCTTTCGTCGTTTCCCACCACCTCGTGTTGGCATGAGATGCAAATCCACCACAGTATCGGACCTTTTTTTTATATATTTTTTTTCTTCCGTGGGTGTGATGAACGCCAACGCGACTCCCGGCTGGATCTTCGCATTCCCATATGTTCCGTTTTCTGTTTTTACACTGTTCACCGCACATATGTCTATATGCCTGTTGCCTTTCCCCCCAAATGTTACCTGTTAGAATACGCGCAGTATCTACCCCCCGCTACTGGCTACGACAAGAGCCTGCTTAAGGAAGCCCCAGCTAACTTACCACCTGCTGCTGCTTCTCATCTTACGTCATGCATGCCGACACGTCTACGTCAGCTCTTCCTTCGTTTTCTTTTCTTTTCTTTCTTTTCCTTCTTCTGCGTTGTGCCTATTAAGTAATAATATATGTACGGCTAGGTGTCGTGTCTCCTGCCTTTGTCAGAGTAGTTAATGTTATGTATGTATGGGTTTTTGTTTCTTTTTTAACTTTCCTGTACCTGGTCCGTGTGCTATTGTTTCCTTTGTTGTCTCGTTTTCTTGTAATTGATGGATGGATAGGATAGGATAGTGATTAGTGGGTTGGTGGAGATGGATGAAACTGAGACGGATGGGTAGGTAGTTGTGTGAGAGTATGATACTATGGTATATCCCCAATGGAGATTATTGTTTTTGCTACATGGATATATGGGCTATGCGGAGGGTCGTGTGTGGATGGACCTCTGTCTCTCTCTCTCTCTCTTAGATATATATATATGTGTGTGTGTGTGTGTTTGGTGTGCTGTCTAATGACCGGCCGTCTATAGTTTTCAGGTCTTTAGATTCTTAATTAATCTCGCATGACGAGTCATAGGGACGTACGTAACAGGCTAATAGAGCGATGATGCAAATGCTTGCGTCCATCCCGAAATTACTTGCTCAGTTTGAGTTTGCTTGACAGATATCAAAATCAAAAAAAAAAAAATCAGACGCCACAATCCCCATGCCCAATCTCCAATCGTTTCATATTCTAGAAATACAGTTCACGTAGATCCCATTCCCTCCCTACCTCCCCTTCCCCCCAATATCAAAACAACCCCGACCCCCCCGTCTTGGATCGATTAGGCCAGGTCGGTAACCAGAGTAAGAACACAGTACTGAAAGTCAGCTATATACATGTTAAATTTTGGTGTAATTTATGGTGTTTTGTAGTTGTAGTCTGTTTTTTTCATTTTTTTATTTTTGTTTT